CACTGACACACAAGCTTATGGCAAAATGCCTGGTTTTCCTGGGCAAGCAATTTGTAATAACCTGTGGCTCTATTTCCTGTACACACACAACATAGACAGTTCAACAATGCAAGTGTAAAGCACCAAAGTTTATTTAGTTGGTACACCTTCATCTCCAAACACAATTCTTAATCTAGTGAGAAAATAATAGGCATCCATTTACTTCACAGACTACTAAAATGTTAGGTAACGAAAGGGAAAAATCACAAGAGGAGATATCTGTTGTCACCATATAAGAAGAGCTATATAAATAAGAACTGGGAAGAAAGAGGAGGGATTTATTTTAGATTTATTAACAATAAGAGGGGCAGGGACATGAATGGCCATGAAGGTGTGCTAAAGCACAGACAAAGATGGTATCTTCATACCATCAGCTTCACATTATCATCAGAGTTATGAATTCATACAAATGGGTTTTAATAACCACTTAACAAATTGCCTGTGTAGAATTTCAAGTGCAAATTCTTACAATCAAGATTTTTGGTATCCAGAAAATTATTAGGCTGACCTCTTTGAGATAGGTCTAGTATGACCTAGTAAATATATCATAAATGTTAAATATCGTAACACTTACAGTGCATTCCTCTGGGCTTTATGTTATTGGAAAAAGTGACACAAAGTATTACCCATTAATTTTTGTACCCCAGTCAGAGAAGTACCTTGCAAATTATTAATTTCTTGTTCGTTTGGGGAAAAATATCCTAGCACCAGTGCTTACTTTGTTTGGAGCACATTTTATACATTAAGCTTCATTTTCTGATTTTTTTTTTCCTTTCAGTTCTGATCCCTTTTCATAAAGCCAGAGTTTATAGGGAAAAAAACTGCAAATACCTATAGTAAGCTTTTCAGCATAGGATTTTTCCTTTGTGTCACCAAATTTTAAGGAGATGTAGGTCAGCAAATGGCAAAAACTGATAGAGGGGTATGTTCACCAAAGCTATTCAGGAGTTAAACATGCTTGTACAATAGCAAAAATGTGTTTGCATGTGCAGAAATGTACAGAACAAATATAAGACCTAACATAGCTGAATATTTTAAATACTTTCTGTGAAGCAGAAGCTACAGAGTGTCTTTGAAGACACCATCAAGACTTGGCAAGATCATTAGGAAAGACTGTTCCGCACAGCGTGCACAAATTGTAGTGCTTGAGAAACTGCTTGGAATCCTCCAGGATTTGCTTTCTTTTGAAAATCATGCCCTGGGACTCAGTAATCAACTAAATTAGCTCTGCATAGGCTTTTTGTTGTTGGAAATCAGCCCTGATGGGGCTTTTCATGATGATTAAAGATTTGGTCATAGTTCAGACTCAAATTCCTCAGGAGTACTTTAGAGTTTACCCAGTTTTAAAGACTGAGTAATCAAAAAAAAAAAAAATAAAATAAGGCTTTGTATGGTTGTTAATTGTTAATTAATGGCTAAGTATGTTAATTGCATGACAAGTTTAAACTAAAATTTTACACAATAAAAACATTTCATGTTCATTTCCACTTGCTGAAGCAAAATTTTATGGGAAAGTTACTTTGTCTGTTATCTCTGAAACACTTATCTTTAAAACTTTTATTATTTTTTTCCTCCAGAGGATCTTAATTAGACATTAACCATTTAAAACCTTACACTTGACATTTGATTTTTCCAGACTAACCAAAAGGAGGTATATATTTCATGAGAAAAGGAGATTATTTCACCAATGTAACAAGTAGCAAGAACTATCATGTGCAGATGCCTTACTCATATGGATAAATGGAATTCTCTCAGGTTACATATGACAGATTAGGAACTACATCTGCAAAAGTTGTTGCTGTCTTAGTGGAGTGGAGCTGCAAAGAGCAGCTAGTAAATCTTTTCTGGGAATTCTGCCACAAAAACTTCAAGCAAGATCTTCATTTTATTTAAAATGTTCAGAGCTAAGCATCAAACATTCCACAGACAAGGAACATAGAGAATAGTTGGGTTTTTGCAGATACAGCAAGTCAAATTCTTTCTCCTGTAAGTAAGATCAGGGTGCTTTTCTGCCCCCCCCCCCCTTTTTTTTTTTAGAAAATGGTTTCTGTTTGGATGGTTAAAATATCTGATGGATGGTTTCAAATATCAGAAAAATGCTGTTTAAAATACCAGGCAACTGAATTGTCCATTGTAGTATGATATTTCCAATTGGGATTATTTCAAGGAAAAAGGGTTTTTAATACCTCATGGAATCAGGCTCCCGTTGATTTATGAATCCATAGAAACCTAACCACTTCATAAATGAAACGGTCATAGCACAATATTAATTCTACTATATTGAACTTTATTCTCTCATCTACTTTTTCTAGTACTCAAGTGTAACAAGTAATTTCAGCTGGAACATATTTGTGTTCACATTTTACTCAGTTCCTGTGAAAATGCATTATGAAATTTCATTTCATGACCAATTTGGCTTGACCAAAAGAAATTATTGTTTTATAGATTATGTTTGTGTTCAGTAATGGTCAGCTTAGAAACCACTGTCTATCAAACAAAGTCTAAAGAATTTTCTTACTATACTATTTCCTGAAGATTCTAACAGATATTTGAGCAATTTTAGCAATTCCTGTGAGTTTGTACCACATAAAAGCTTCCTGGTAGAATGGAAGCTGTGTCATCCAACTTGCAGAAATTCCGTTTATAAAATGTCAGTAATTTCACACGAGTGAACAGTATAAAGCCATTCACTGATAAGACAGCCCAGCAAATTTATCAATCAAATCCAAGCCAGTCTCACTGCCAGTGAGCTTCAAGACAAAGTCTAAATCAGATTTTCAGAGAAAACAGAAATTCTAGCAGAATCTCCAAATGACCTAAATAATTTCAGTGTGAGCAACAAAATACTGCCACCTAGGGAGCCAAAGGAAAGGACAATTATCAGTCATTTAAATAAAACCAACCATGAATGGCAGCATAAATTTAACTGGTGTACTTAATTGAGTAGAATTGTGATTTTTTTTTTCAGTTAAGGGGCCTCCTGCTGCCTTTTTTAAAAAACCCATTCTATTTCAATGTATTTTCTTTTGAAGAAATTTTCTTTTTCCATATTTAAAATAAGGGCTACATCACTTATGCTGTGGGGATCACAGTGCACCCTTTGGTTTGGTGTGGCCACTGCACAGGCCACCCACCTGGATTACCTTGCATCCAGTTTTGATGATCTCACAATCTTGCAATAAGCAACCCTGCGATATTTACTTTACAAATTCAGTTTAGATGTGGGAAGTGAGAGCCCTACCAAGTGCCAGTTCTGCAGGTTCCTCCCTTGTACTGTCCTGCAGAACTGAAGGACGCCTTTTTCTGGGACAGAGAGCAAAAGGCCTGATAACTACCTTGTAAGCAGTCTGAAAGCCTCTGTTCATGTGCAGTCTTACACAGCTGAAAGAAACAGTGTTTGTTTCAAAGAAGGTTTGTGAAGAAAACTCTATTTTATTATTTCATTTTTCAGAATTGGAAGACATATGTTGATTTTGAATAAATGTACAGCAACTATACTGACTTCTAATAAAGATGCATGGACAGAAAAAGATCCTTAAAATCTAGCAGACGTTGTATTTTCATTTTGTGTGATAATCATCATCTCCTTAGAGGCACTTGTGTTCACCACCATCTGTCAATGTCCTGCATAATTAAACTTCTGGTTCCATTAAAACTCAGTGTGAACAGTTTGCGTAAGAGCCAAAGAGTGGAGAAGATGTATTGACATATTACATCATGATTATTTGACAACATGCTCCAAATCAGATTTCTGTCCAGTAAAAAAGAACCCAACAAAACAAACAACTTATTCCAAACAGTCTTTATTTCATTTCACACAAAGCTGAATTTGATTTCTTCTTTCCCAGGGTGGCCTCTTAAAATGCACTTTAGGTAAGAAAAATTCATCAATAAATATGATAATTCAACCAACCACATCTTTTATCCCTAGAAACTCTAAAATCAATAGATGTCAAAGGATGGCTTCCTTTGGAAGCAACCAGAAGGTAGGTGCTATTTTCAGAATTGTTGCACTACAAAGTCAGCTTTTATGGATGGTCATGCACTCATTTCAGAATTGTTGCATTACAAAATTAGCTTTTATGGATGGTCCTGATACATCTCTCATCCGGGTTGCTATTTTTCTTGCATTTTCCCCACTGACATTGCTGATGCTTCTCATGATATTTCTTTTGAAAGCCATTTCCTTTTCTGCTGATGCTACTGATTCTGCTGAGCTAATGAAATTGGTGTGGTTGCTGCTAATGGCCCTGAACGGTTACTTCTCTTCTTTTCCCAAGTATTTATATTCTTATTCTGATTCTACACCCCCTAAGGTCCTGGGAAAAAAGAAAAAAAGTGGTACGCCGGTAAGTACCTCACGGCCATTGTGAGGCCGTGACACAAACGACAAGGGGGATGATTAGCGGGAGCTTCGCCACTCTCCCTGAGCTCCAGACCGTCCCAGAGCAGGGGCAATTCCTCGTACCGCTTCCTTCCTCCAGCACCAGAAAGGGGAAGCGCTGGGGCGGCTGCGGGTCTGTCACGCTTTAGGCGGCAGAGCTTTCCCTCATGCCAACAGCCTGGCAGAGCTGCGGAGTCGGTGTCACAGGGACTGGGCTGGGCTGCCGAGCCCCAGCAGAAAACCAGGAAAGCTCCCAAAGCACCCGTGCCTCCGAGGCCAGCCCTGCCTCACCCAGCACGACCGGCTCAAGCTGCCGGGGGTCGGAGGAAAGGGGGGAGCGAACTCCTCGCCCCGCCGCGGGCACCGGGCCATCGCGGCGCGCCCCGCGAGGCCCACCCTGAGCGCTCTCTCAGCCGCGGCAGCGCCGCCCGGCGCCGACCCCAGGGCGCGGCGGGCGGACGGAGGGAAGCAGGGAGGGGCGGCGGAGCGGCGCCAGCGCTGTCCCGCCTCCTCCTGCGGAGCCCCGACTCCCCTCCGCCTCCATTTCCCGGCGTGCGGCGCGGGCGCGGGGCAGGAAGTCCCGTGCGCCTGAGTCAGGGGCGGCTGGGCGGCCGCTGCTTGGATCGGCGGCGATGGCGCTGGAGACCCTGTCTCCGGACTGGGAGTTCGACCGCCTCGACGACGGCTCGCAGAGTGAGCACCCGCGGAGGGCGGGCCAGGCGGGGCCGGGCCGGCGGAGTGCGGCGGGAGCCGCCTCGGAGCCACCTCGGAGCGGGGGGAGGCGCGGGCTGAGCAGAGCCTGCTCCCCCTGAACCGCCCCGCTGCATCTCCGCCGGGAACAGAAGGGAGGGGGGGACGGAGGAGGAAGCAGTCGCGGGAGCTGAGCGGGGTCGCTCTCCCCGCCCCGCGGACTCTGCCCCGCGCCCCCGCCGCCAGCCCAGCGCTGGTCCCCCTGCGGCCCGGCCTGCAGTAGTGAGCGGCCGCCGTGACCTTCTTTGCTCTCACCACCTTCTCCGTAGCTGTCGGGGTTGTTTTAGGGTGGGGGGAGTAGCTTTTACAGCCCTTCATCCTTTGCTCCCCCGGGAGAGTCGTCTGCGGTGCCCCCCCGTGCGGCGGGGAGGGTTAGGCTGCTTTGTGCCGCCCTGTCTTTTCTCGTACTGACGGGGCTTGTCGTGGGAATGGTGTTTCTTTCCTTCCCAGTCATTTCTTGTGGCCCACAAATTTTTGTAGTGGCTTCCTTGGTTATCCAGAGAAGTCACATCAAGATATGTTGTGAGCAGTTAGTTGTACTCAGCTTTCATTGGTAAAGGCTCTCTGTCACGGCAAGTGGGCGGTCATTTGTAGTTTCACCTTTAAAATAGAATTGAATAAGATCTTCAGCGATGCCGAAGTCTTTTGCGGTGGATTCGTATGCCCGTCAAAATACACGTTTTACTCAGCCTGTGGAGGTGACCTAGTTTCTAAACAGGGAACTTATATGGTTGTCACACTGTAATACACGCTGTAAATTGAACTGTGCCAAGTTAATTATACCAGGTGTTGCTGTGGAAATATGTCACTCGTGGACCAACTGTTTCACATATAATGTTATCCCAGGGCATGATACTGTTTATGCCGTGTTCGGATAGTCCGGTTTCAGTGGAAACAGGCTGTCCTGAGCAGAGCTTTTTATCAATTCTCTAGCTGTGGAAAGGAAAATGTAGCTTTTACTCAAAATGCCAGCTCTCCGCTAGGTTGACTAGGACATGAAATGAAACTCCAAAAAATTTACGTGACTTAATATGCCCTGTTATCACCATCTCAAGGGTGAAGAAACAGGCTGATCTTCCATCCAGAACAGCACACAGTGTTCTAGAGAAAAGCCAAAGAATAATCGTGTGGCTTGAAAGGCATTTTTTGTTCTTGTACTTTTGCTTTTCATCGCTAACATTTAGCAATTACAACTTTCTCAACTGAGGACATAAGATAAGTCTAGTTTGTAAGATCTCTGTCCTAGATGTGTGTGGCTATGACGCTTGCAAATCTTACTGCCAGTGACTTCATTGAATATTGATATTGCTGATTTTGGAAGAAGTTAAGATTGAGGCATCTGCTGCTGAGTTGATCTCTTGCACTGTTCCAACTATAATGCTTTAGTTTTATCACCTGAGGGGAAACTAAATCAAACTTTCTTGTAAACACATTAGACCTTATCAAGCATGTATGCTGCTCTGAAGAAAAGGATGATATTTGCTTTCTATGATTTCATTTTCTTCCTCTATGTGAGTCAGTTTATTTAAGAAAAATGTTCTGCATCTTAGAAAGCTTCTCTCATCTCCCAGGTAATTTTTTACCTGTGGAACTGCCTATCTCTGGCTAGTTAAGAGCTTCCACTCTCTTGTCTCACTAAGAAAGTGAGAAATTATTCCTGTGTCTTATTTTATAGGTAGCAAATTGATGGCTGTCAATAATTAAGTATTTGGAAGTATTTAATGAGTGTACTGTTGCTCAAATCCGTCATTTGTCTGCTGGAAGGGTGACAGTCAGTGAATTTCTAGCAGAGTGCTGTTGTGAGATTTTGTTTGAGAAATGCTCAATGTTTTTGTTTCATAGAAACTGATTTGGACAGCAATGCCGATTTCCTACTCTTGTATGACTTTGAAGTTTTTTCTGTTCTTCCTTTAAAGCCCCAGTGCCTGTCTGGTTTTTTGTTCTCAGTTTGTCTTTTGTGTAAAGGGAGGAGATGTGATGGGGAAAGTACCAGAGCATACCTCTTTAATGTCTCCCCTACTCTGGATTTTGTAGCAGTAAAGCACTGAAGCTGACATGATGGCTGGTTAAAATCCATTCAGCGGGGCTGTGGATCTATCAGTGTTTTACTGGTTTGCTGCAACAGAGCCTGCAGAATATGCACTGGAAAGAACCTGAAGGATGAGATGAACTTGATGGAATAGAATTGTACAGTGATACAACTTAAGGGCTACACATCAGTGCTTGGAGTGCTGCTGATGGAGAGTGTTTTACTCACTTCTCCTACGTTACATTCAGTCTCCTGATCTTGTCAATGCCTGTGCTCTGTCTAGGCTGCAGGTACTGCTAGGACTGAACGGCGCTAATGCCATTATTGTGGGAGAGTGTTCTGTGCTCCTTGGGTTGGCTTTGCAGTCTGCATGCCTTTATGGTTGGCATTGCTGCTACTTTCAAAGTACTATCTTAAAATTAATTCAGTCTTCACTGCAGTCATTTCTCCTTCTCAGTCTCAACCTCCCTGCGCGTAGTCCTTTTCATCTTTTCCTTATCAATTTGTCTTTATTCATTCTTCCTTTTCTGGCTGGTGCAGTTTCTCAGTTAGATATTTTCTTTCTGCAAAAAATGTTTCAATGATGATTGATTCAGCAGTGCTCTCCCACTGAAGTAGGCATCAGCTACCATTTGGCTCCGTTCTTTGCAAAGACAATGACTAAGAGGTTGAACATGCAGAATAAAAGAATATATTATTTTTAACTTCTAGGCAAGTCCACTTGCTGAAATGCAAAAAGGGCACCTATAAAGCTACGTGACAGCTGAATTCTTGTGTAAGAAAAGTTCAGTTGTCCAGTTGACCTTCATTCTCTAACTTTTTTTAGATAATCCTATTTTCAATGAATAGCAGATGATCACAAGCTGTTAGATTTGTTATCTAATGATGGGAAAGGCGCTTTAGTTTTCACATGGAAAAGGATTGTGCTTCCTGAGTGTAGGAGCCTTGAACATTTACTCTGTCGTTCAGATTGTGCAGCTAAGTCAGCAATTATGTATAATTTGGGGGAGAGTGTAAATATGGGAAATAAAAAAGATCAGGATAGAGAGCATGAAACTGTTTTGCACCAATTGCCTTTCGATTTACTTTGCTACTTAAGACCACTGTTGCTTTTGTTTGACCAGCTGAATGTTAGCCTTTGAACCTGTTTGTCCCTTTGAACCTACTTGCCCCTGACACTAACAGGATAGCTATGCATTTCAATGCCCAGCAGAAGAAAAATTCTGCCTGAGAAGAGTGAATTTGAAAGTGGGAGGAAATTACTAAAAGCCATAAGCTTTCCATGTAATGCTCAAATAACTCAGTGAGAGATACCAGGGAGAAGTGGAAAGTGGATTGCTAGAAATTCAACTGCCACTCAGGCTGAAATGATTAGACCCATTGCCTCAAAGTTCTTATATAAATGCATTTGTACTGGTTCAGCTGATGGGTAGGGTCACCTGCTGTGCTGCAATTTCCACAGTAGTTTCTTTGCTCAGCACCTTATGTGATTATTAAGGTCTTAGTTTAACAATACACGTACCTTGAAAAAAAATAATTTTCTGCATACTGCTTAGATGTTCGAAACTCTTCAAGTAGTATTTGAATTTCTTTTAAACCAATACTAAGTTATAGGATTGTTTTTAAACAAATAAGAACTTTGCATTAAATCTGCATTTTATTAAAGAAAAATGCCACAGCAAAAAGAAGAATACAGGACTAAAGTTAAATAGCAAGATATTGAATGTTTTTAATAACATTTTTTGAAATTGCAGTTTATTGAATTGTCTGTAAAACTGTATGATGTTATCAATTCTCAGAAATTCATGCTGAAGTGCAGTTGAAGAGCTATGGAAAATTTCTTGAGGAATATACATCTCAGCTGAAAAGAATTGAAGATGCTTTGGATGACTCTGTTGGAGATGTTTGGGACTTCAGTCTTGATCCCATTGCTTTAAAGGTCTTCATATATTTAATATACATTGCATCTGTTACTTTCCTAGTTTGTCCTTTCCTTCAAAACGTCCTAAGTAAAAGCCTGATGCATTTGTGCTCTTAAAATTTTGACTTGTGTCTTTGAGAAAACTATCCAGTACTATTTTAATTATCAAATAATTAATAAATTGGTGCATATCATATGAGAAGAAGCTTTCACATTATTAGTTTCTAGTCTTATGGTTACTACCTGAAGTTGAATGAATTTCTAATTCTTCATGTGTTGGGAAGGCTGGTTGCAGCAGATGTCTTCCCTGTGACTGTTAGTGTTTATCTGGGGGCTGGGGTTCAGGAGAGCTCACTAATAGTTGTAAAACTGCACAGTGAACTCTGTGTGTATTGACCTAATGGCCTTGGTGCAGTATTGGCTGTTTTCTTGGTCTCCTCTTTGGAGCATTAGCTTTTCCTCTTCACTGAATTTGCAGACATAATTTAAAAGCACTTTTGTTGCCATATGAAACTTGTCTGTGCTGAAGACACACTCTCAAGCAGTCATCTGTCTGAATAATTTGAATAAATTATGTGTAGTACTGCACAGTACTGCTTGTTTATGGACTAGTCAAAATCAGGCTGACTTAAGCACAAATTGCCAGTGCCTGCATACAGGTGTACTTTCTGCTTCCTGTTTCCAGCATTTGGAATTATTAAATAATGTTTTAGTTTTCCTGAGCTGTTTTTCTCCTACATATGCCATAATGATTGTGCTTTTGCTTTACAAGTTTTGTAAGTAAATTGTTGAAAATGCTATATAATATACCTTGGTATTTGTCTGTCTGCCTAAAGTGAAAGGAAAGGTATTTCCTTATGAACATGAAGAGTGAAGGGCTCCTCCAGTGCAGGCTGGCAGTCATGTGCAATTGTGCTCTCTTACTACTGACCCTATTTGAGATTAAACTGGAGGGAATACTTGCCTAGTTGGATGAATGTATTTTTGACTAATGTTTATTTAAAGTTGTTGATTTTTTGTTTCTGTTTGGTCGTTTTGTGTTTTTTCGTTTGCTTTTTTTTTTTAATTCTAGCTTTTGCCATATGAACAGTCCTCCCTACTGGAGCTCATAAAGACAGAAAACAAGGTAAGCACTTTATGCTTAAAGGGAAAAAAAGTTATTCAACCTCAGTCCAAGTCGTCTAAATGTGAACTTGTTTGTAATCTGTGTGATTTTTTTCCTCACTTTGAGTCTAGGTTCTAAACAAAGTTATTACAGTGTATGCTGCTCTTTGCTGTGAAATCAAGAAGTTAAAATATGAGGTAAATTCAACTGACTTTTATTATTGTATATGAAAAGTTTTGCAGTTTGGCATGCTGCTGATATATGCATTTATTTTTATCAATAAAGAAACAAGACATGTCTAAATAATTTTGTAGCTTGATTACATATATCCTATTTATTAAAAACCAAATTTCTGCTTTTGTTGTTAGGCAGAAACTAAATTTTATAATGGCCTCCTGTTTTATGGAGAAGGAGGTAAGTAGCTTCTTTTTCTGTAAACATATATAGTTTTATATTATTGCTTCAGGTTATATTAAATGCTACAATTACTGTAATTTTATTATACGGATATATGCTTTCTCTGTGATGCACACCAAATAGAGAACTTTGAGCCTATAGGGATATATGTTAGTGTCTTGTAGCTATCCTGAGTTAGCTTAAGATAAGGTTTCTCTGTAAATCCCTGCAGTATGTGTTGTTACACGAACAGGAAATTTTGTTGCAGCCTTGTTTACATGGGAAGTAGGGAGTGTGAGCTCCCTACATACAGCTTGTCTACTGTAGCAACTATTTTTCAAGGTGTGGCACTGAAAACATGTTTTTCACATGTAAACACATCCTAAATCAACTTACTTCCTTTTGGAGCTACATTTGACATCGGTTGTAGTTAAACAGTAAATCTGTGATTTAACTGAAGTAAAACAATGAAACCATTAATAAATAACTTGGCCCAAGTCCTGGTCTCTTCACTTATGCAATTGGTATTCCAAGACAAGTTGGAGTATGTTGATATCACCTCCCCTTTCAGTGCAGGTAACTCACACTACATGTTCAGACCATGGCATAAGAGGGGGCCCAAGTCATTATAAGTCAGTTCACAAATGGTGAGACTGCTGTAGGTGACAGCTTTTTGCCTTGGAGTTAAAACTGCTAACTCCTGAATGACTAGGGATACTAGTGTGAGAATAAGCACAGATCTTTGTCGTACGAGACATCAGAAATATCAGGGAATGTGAAATCTTTGAGCTCGGGGCTGTTTATAATTCTTTTAAGTGCTATATAAGATAACTGTTGTGCTTAAGGAGCATGGAAAAGTGGGGGATTTGTTAGCTTGTTATGTGGGAGGTTTTTTGGGGGGTGTTTGGTTTTTTTCCCTTTTTTCTTAGTAGACTTACGTGTGTTATCGGATATGGTTTTAAATATTTTAAAGTCATATGCTGCCAAAATGGTACTAGGAGATCCTTCAGAATTTTCCATGTCTCTAGTGTGAAAAGGCCAGAGTATAGCAGATTATTATATTACAGCAGCAATTTGTTCCTGATGGGTATTGTGCAGAGCATGCTTGGAAATGTCAGGAACTGAGAGGTCAGCCTTCTGAGGATTAAGTACGAATGCAGTAATTATGTTCTTTATTTCCATATCCCTACTTGTAGCATTTTCTTTGATAACAGCAAGCTTGCTTACTTTAAACAACTGGCAAAGTTACTTGCTCAAGGATGGCTGAAACTTAAACTAATATTATGCTGGCTTTTTCTATCTATGTAAAGAGAACTGTTTGCCCCATCTTGTCATTGCAGTGGCTAGGACTAGTGTAGGAACTTCAGGTAGTGGGTAGGGTTTTTTGGAACATACACTGAAGAGATTAAAAGTTGCATAAAATGTGGAAATGGGAAGCAAAGCAATGTTTAGTATTCTGTCCCAGAGCTCCATGTTAGAGAAAAATGGAGACTCCTTTAATCTCTGACAGCTGTAAAAGAATATATTTTATGTAGCAAGAAGACCTGCATTTCTTAGGTAAACTTGTAATTTTAAGTGAGCTCTTCTTGCTCAGAGTGACTCAGAAGAAAAATCTCAAGTCTAGAGCATCTATCTGTTGTCGCATTAAAAAGACAGCATTTTGTCAGGTGATGTTCAAACCGCTCCAAATGGCTGAAACACTTTGGCATGGCTGATGTAATTATTGTATTTCTGTGTCATACAGATAATGCTGTGAAGCTGTGGTGGTAAGCCTGTTCTTTTGTGCAGAAGGATATGTAGGGAAAAAAAATATTCTTTCTAGTTAATCATGTAGTATATTCTCTCCATAAAAAACATCTGGATGTTTCTTGCAAGATAAATAACTAGTATTTTCATGCAAATTTCTTAAAAATAGAAACATTTATATGAAGTTACATAATACATATGCCCTTAAAGAATTATGGGGTTTATTTTTTTTTCTTTCAGATGAAGAAGACTTTTCCCAGCTTTGTATCTAATTTATAAACCATGTAGTTTTTAATGAAAGAGAAACTCCAAAAATAAGTCCACCTTAGCAAAGCAAAATTAGGAGGTTTTGAGGCTCCATCAATACACTTATAATAGTGCACTCTACTAGTATGACAAATAAATGGCTTGGAGGGCAAGATTCAGTGTTAGTTTAACAGGTACAACACAGGCTTTAGAAACTGTTGACAAATGTTTCTCTTTTAAGCCACAGATTCCAGCATGGTGGAGGGAGATTGCCAAATACAGATGGGAAGATTTGTTTCTTTCTTGCAGGTAGAGTATGTTTTGATTGTTTGACAGCAATATAATTTTAATTTTACTTGCAAAATGGATTTAACAGTCTGCCATATCCTGTTTGCATTTTGCTGAAAGGCATAGCAGTCATCTGATATGTTGCTATGTTTTGCCTGCAGACCAGCTGATGTATCACATATTGTTTGGGGATTTTTTTATACTTCTCTCTGGAAGTCTAATGAGGGAAGGAATTAGAAATTACTTTAAAATATTTCAGTAGGAGAAGATAAATTGAGGTTGCTTTCATCTGTAGTTAAAGATAGCTGAGTTTAGTTAGCAAGTTCTGGTGTTTATTGAACATTGGAAATGGGTTAATTGTTTTATATATTTGGGTTTTTTTAGCTGGTAGAAAAAAACAAAATCAAAGTATGTACCTGAAAAAAATTGCTCATGTTTCCTTCAAACATTTTTGGAAGATCACTCCTTTCAATGAAAACAGGATCTGTTTTTATTCTGAGGAATACCTGTGCTCTTGGGATTCGGTCTGTTGTGGAGTTTTTTGTCCTTAGTATAACTTAAGCAACTGTCTCATTCCCAAAAATGTTTCTATTTTTATGCAATATTGCTTGTAAGGAGTAGATGTGGTGAAGTAGAGAATATAGAGGAAGCTTCCAGAATATTTAAATAAATTCTGGTTGACCAAGGGTTAAAATTTATGTTCTGATTCTGCAGCATGACACTAATCATTGTCGTGACAAGACAAATGCTGCGTAGGAAGTAATTTCTCAACTTCCTTTACCATGCTGGAGTGCAGTGAATTGTGAGGATCATTCGTGTTTTCTTTCTCATTTTCCAACCTCTTTGTCTTACCAGCTTTGTAGGTTTTATCCTTCATTCTCTGTTTTGCTTATGAAGTTTGTTCTTTTTCAGCAGTTGGATTCTCCTAAATCCGTTCAGTGTTCTACCTCCCTAGATTAGGAAATGCTGTTCTGGTCAGTGTTATAAGCATATCCCCAGAGGTGGTGTGAAAATATGAAGTTAACAAAAAGGTGAAAAGTTGCTTTCATAGAGCTAATCACCATGTATTGGTTTCTTGGCTCTTCTGGGCTTTCTGGATTAGCTAGATGCAGTAGCCTCAAATTTGCTAGGTCAGAAACTTTTTTTAAAGCATTATCAAAATAATGCTCTGAAATATTAGTTTATTACAGTCTTTTTTGTATTATGTAGCTGCTAATATGCGTGTGCTGTTGAATTGGACTTCTTTCCAGAAATTTTAAAATGGCAGCTGGTGCTGCCTCCCCAGGAAACATGATCTCATCTGTCTATTAATCCATTCTTCTGGAATCTGTTGGCTTATTTCAGCTGCATTTGTTAGAGCAGTACAATTTTAAGAAGTAATGTTTTGTGAAAACTGATGACTAATAGAAGGCAGAAGCCCAAATAGGATCTATTTTTGATGGAGAGGAAGACAGAATTCAGCTGCTAGCCAGTCTCCTGGCTGGCTGACTGTTCATCCGGTGTGGGCTGTCTGCTATAAAGCCATCTATGTGCAGATTGGCTAGACTCATCACACACTGATATTTCCCTGATGGGATTTGTAAGGTAAATTAATGAGCAGATATTACTGCAGTTAAGGGAAACTCATATTAATTTATCCTGTTGTTCAAGGAATGCCATGTTAAAATCCATTATAGAAATTAAGATGCTTCTTTACATAGTCAGAGTTGACATGTTCTTACTCATTTTGTGTTACATAACCAAGCCTAAGTTCTGCCTTCGTCAGGCAAACATTTCTAAGACATTGACTTTCTTTGTTTTAAAGCAATTTTCTCTGGCTTATCACTCTTACAGTAAGAGCTCCTATGGTAATTTCTAATTTGAATTTGGCTATTACCAGCATCCAGAGTGTGACTCTTGAATCTAGTGGGGAAAAAGCACAACCTCTGCTGGATCTTGTCCCTGAAAGTACTTGGGATCTGTTGTCAAGTCACTTCTTGTTGTCTTTGATAAATTGAACGAATACTATAAATGGTCAGAGTTGTACTGGAAGCTTGTGTTTGGTAGTTTCTTAGCTTAGTCCCAGATCCTTTTTCAGAGCTGTTAGTAGGATATTTTCCATCCTGCTGTAAATCTGTCCACTGACTTGGGTTAGGGATGTAGTTGGAGCTTTGGCTGCATATTCTGTAGTGTATGTTCAGGGTTTTTTTTTGTGTAATGACAACTTGTCTATGAGGAGGATCTATACATTTATATGCATTTTGTTTTCTTGTATTTCAGGAGCTGTCTTGCTTTGTTACCCGATGTTATGAAGTGGTGGTGAATGTAGTGCATCAGCTGGCTGTTCTGTATACCAGCAACAAGTAATTATTTTCTAAAATGCTGTATTGTTACTATGTAGAGTTAAATGTATAAAACATTAATGTTCTATTTAAGGCATAGTCATTTTTGGAATATTGTTGTCTAGAGATAGAGTGCTTTGCTGTGTAAGTTTCATAAACAGTTATGGAAACGGTTTTGTTTTGCTTTCAGAAAAGATAAGTGCTTGTATATAGTGAGATGCAAGGATGTTCGTGTTTGTCATTTTTAATCTTTATATTTGAGAAATATTGCTGATTTTTCTATCCTTGCTCTGTTTGAGAGGCTCCTCCTGTTTCTTGATACATAGCTTAAAAATCAAATCACTTCTGCAGTCTAATTTGAAAATGTAAATCTTGGCATATATTTTTCACAGAACAGCCATGGTTTTAACATCTGAAGTTTAGCTTGGTAAGGGATGTTTGGTTTAGCTCCTTTGAAAACTGTGAGGAAGGTTTAGTTCTGAACAGGATTGTTGGAGTTAGCTTTGAATACCTCTGCAGGACTCTCAATTGTTTCCCCATCCCCCAATAGGATAGCATCATTCTTCTCAGTTTTATTTGTTGCTTTTATTTTTGGCTTATATCACAGCACAAGGCAGACTTCCTGTGTGATGTTGGATGTGTAGCTTGGACATGGCTTGAGTAAATACAAAGTGGTTTTATTCTCTGGGTGTGTAAAGGCTATTCACATAACTAAAGTGGGAATTGCTGACACACCTGTGCATTGAATACACTTGGTGGTTTCAACCAGTCACATGCTGTCTCTTTAAAAATAAAGTTTTAAATTTGATCAGAGCATACAGATTTCAAACAGTATATACTTTTCATCAGGTTTTGATGTTCTTTTGTTTCCTGAAGTTACTATGTTAATGAAGAAAAATGTACCCAGAACACAGAGAACACACCATGATACAGAACTGATAAATGTGATCTGTTCTAAGGATTAAAAAGGCATTAAAATACTGATTTTATTTACAGGAATGCACCTAAAATTATAGAGACATCTGGAGTTCATTTTCAGGTGGGAATGATTTGGAATCCTTTTGCTTATGTGAATATATATAGGTCTTGATTAATCCTGAGAAAGACAGCATGAAAGTGACTTTAGAGAACAGCTTTCAATTTAAAGATTTTATTTTATTAATCAGCTTTTTCTGACCTTTGTATGGGAAGGCCTGGTGTCTCCATGTCTGTCATATTCTAGATATCTTAACAACAATGTGTTTGCATGCTCCTTTATTGCAATGTGTGCCTTGGCATATAGACTATTTAAAAAATTGGGTCTTCAGTGTCAAGATAGATCAAGGAATTTAATTTGTGTGCAGACATCCCGTTAATATTTCTTGTGTCACTACAAGTCAAATCTTTAAGCTGCTAAGCCACAATTTCTCCTGTTTAACTCTCTAGCTGATATCTTGTTGGCTGAAAATGCATTGAAAGGAACTGAAATTTTATGTGCTCATATGACTGCAGTAAACTTTCTAATAATTAGAGTCCTTTTTTTTCTTTTTTTTTCCCTTCACAAACAGGCAATGTATGAGCATCTAGGAGAGTTGCTCACAATCTTGATAACTCTGGATGAAATAATTGACAATCATGCCACACTGAAAGATCACTGGACCATGTATAAGAGGTGTGTCTCTGATGTGAAAAATACTCCCACAAATTAAGCCATAAAAGCATATGCATCTGTCTGTGTTCCAAGAAAGTCAGTGTGGGAACATGGATTTTGGTAGTCTCTCCAGAAATTTGTGGAAGAGCAGGGCTAAGCTCCCACAGTGTCCTTCTAAAGGCACCAGTAAATATTTTGTCTGTTTGAGTATGAATGTTGCATTTTCAGTGCAGGGTAGGCATCTTGGCAAATAACGTAATAGTTGGTGGGATTTCAAGAATATTCAGTAAGAAATTTAGTTGTGTAAAGAACTGAGCTAAGACTATCCCTGTCCATATTGATCATGGGAATGGGCATAGAGCTTTAAAAAGGGATGGTACCTTAAGTAAAAGCTGAAGAGTCAGCAATTATAAAGGTGGCTGAATTAGTGGAATATTAACTCTGTCCTTGAAAACCCAAGTAGTTACTCAAATGCAAATTGTTTATACAGTCTGAGTGTATTTTTGGGGATTTTTTGGCTTTTTTTTTTTGTTTGATTGGTTGGTTTTTTTATTTGTTGGCTTGATTTTTGTGTGGGGGTTTTTTGTTTGTTTGGTTTGGTTTGGTTTTTTGTTTGTTTTTGTGGTTTTTTTTTTATTTTGGGGTTGCTGCTAAGGGCAGGAGGGGGGAATTAAAACGTCTTATGAAAATAGTGCAGGATATGATAAAACTGTGACTATGTTTTAAGTGTGCTGCATGTGTGTGTTCCACATCTACCCCTTACAGGCTGCTAAAATCTGTCCATCACAACCCTTCTAAGTTTGGGATTCAAGAAGATAAGTTAAAGCCATTTGAAAAACTGCTGTTAAAACTGGAATGCCAGTTACTTGATGGAATGATATTTCAGGTAATGAACTTCATATTCCCCAGTATGATAAAGGAAGCTTACATGAAAGCAAGACTCTTTTCAGAATGGTTGGTTTGTTTGTTTGTATTTTGGTTTTGTTCCAGTCACAGTGATGTGTGAATTTGGCTCTTGGATCTGTGCCTGGGAGAAAAAAGGATCTTACAACAGAGCCTTTCTTGCACTTCTCGTGTGCTTGAACTGTGCCAAGCTTTGAATGATAGCAGTAAATGCTGACTGTTTTGCTGAACACAGACAGCTTGGCATTAGGACTGTGTATTATCAGAATTCTGCTTTGTCCGCATAATAGTGAGCAGATTTACATAGCATAGGTCTTTATTTTAGCTGCAAATTAATTAGTTTCCTCAATAATCTTTAAAATTTAAAATATGTTGAGTGTGACCTGTCATTAGAGACCACTGTGATGGTACATACCCCTGGATCATTCAGCAATACAGGTGGATGAGAAGGATTTCATTACATTTTCTGTGTAGTTAAATTAAACTTTATTAAATTCATACAAGAACCTGTTTCTTTAGAAAAGTGTATGTTACAGACATTGAAATGGGATGTTGTGGCATAGTGGCCAGATGATAATGTTGTTGAACCTGTTCAAAGCAGAGTCAGTTGCATGGGTCGTGCCATTACATCTTAAATGGCATGAGGAAAAAATTGTTTCGACCTTCAAAAGGAAATTGTAGGTAAATAATTACGCACAGTTTGGCTTATTCTTTCAAAGGACAATGCTACCAGCTATCCGTTTTTCATGTTGTATTTCCCTAATGCTGTTTAAGTACAAAGACTTAATTACAGGTTTGAGACATCAATACGATTTGACTGGAATTTATTCAGGAAGTTTCCTCTCCTGTCCTGCAAATGCCTCTTCCTAACAAAAATTCATTGAAAATATTAGATGCAGTTCTAATAAGGACTTTTCTAGTCTCTTTGTAAATTATGGAATGTGTCTCTATATTTTGACTGTTATGAGGTTTTGGGAGCTTTTTTAAACTGCCAGCAGTAGAGTGTGATTTTATGCTGCAAGGCCATGAGCCACATCCTGTAAGTGACTTGTGTGATAATATTGATTAAAGGGCAGTTAGTAACAGCTTGTAATGTAATAATAAAAATATGCAACTAGTTTCTTAGCACTAGCTCATCAAATGGCTTCTTTAAAAATGCTCCTTTAAGGAAATGGGAAAATAAATAAAATGGGGTTTGGAATGTCAAGTGTAAGAGTGTTTTAATATTTTCTGGTTTTATATTTTAAAATGTAAGCATAGTTAAGAATATGTATGTCATAGTTCAGAATATGTATGTCATAAAAGGTTAAGGCTTACTTTAGGTTAGTCTTAAATCGGTGTGCTCTTACAGTATTCTCTTGAAAACCAGTACTCTTTCAAGGTCCAAAACACATGGCATTATCTTGATATATTAATATTTCCCCCCCCGCCCCCTTTTTATTCAGGCCTGTATAGAGCAACAATTTGATTCTTTAAATGGTGGAGTGTCTGTGTCAAAGAACAGCACATTTGCTGAAGAATTTGCTCATATTCTTCGTACATCTTTCTCAAATGTCGAAGCCAAACTTGGTAAGGCAAGCTCATGCTTTTCCAGACAGATAGCTTCACTGTTTCTCAAAGTGTTTATATTGTTTGTGTGGGAGTAAAATTCACAACGGTGTATTTTTCAGGTGAACCTTCAGAAATTGACCAGAGAGATAAATATGTGGGCATCTGTGGCCTGTTTGTATTGCATTTTCAGATTTTTCGGACTGTAGACAAGAAATTTTATAAGTCATTGTTGGATGTCTGTAAGAAGGTAAGTGCTTTATTCTTTTGTCTTTCAGTAATGAAGTAGATAATTTCCTGAGATACATAGTGTAGCACAGTGTTGGGAAAAGAAAGAACTCAAAAACGTCTGAAAACAGAGTTAAAAATTTTCCACTTTTTATAACACCCCCCTGCTATTTTCTTTTAAAGATGGTCTAAAATTGGTGCACTCACATAGCAGCAAGGTAAAATAAACTTTCCATTTCTATTACAATCTTTCTTCTCAAGATTAATATGGCACTGAAGACAAGAATCTCTTTGAGTTATGAATACTCTGGTGCTGAATAAATGCTTTGGGTTTTGACTGTGACTAGAAACATTTGTTTTGGAAGACCTCTAAATGCAAAGTTGAGTGGGATGTTTTCATATTGGATGGTATGAAGAAATTATTAAATTGTCTAATATTGTTTAGAATCACTGAGAGTGGTTATAATTTTGCCCATGGTGTCCTTAGTGAACATCCAGGGAAACTTTTTTAATATCAATGCAATACTCTGTAGAAAACAGTCACACAGAAATAAACTGAACTGTCTTAATTGTGTTTATTGCTACTTGGTAGTATTTCCCCTTCCTTTGTTTTTTTTCTTCCCAGGTACCAGCCATTACATTAACAGCTAACATTATCTGGTTTGCTGACAATTTTCTGATTCAGAAGATTCCAGCTGCTGCCAAACTACTGGACAAGAAAAGTATTCATACAGTTAAAACACAAAGGGAGAACTTTCTACAGCAGAGGGCACAGTCACTTACCAAGTATGCATCCTAATACTGCCACATGATGCTATTTGGCAAATAGTTTTTGAGCACGTGGGCTTTTTCATTCAGTGTAGTAACATGTTCTGTGGTGTCTCTCAGTGGTGTTAGTCACTTGTTCCACTTCACTGCAGCAGTGTGTGTGTGTGTGTTAGGGTTGGTGCAAAAATTTTGGTCAAAACTAAGCTGCATTTCATGTCATGCTTTCAGAAAAATATGTATTATTACACCAAAATAGCAATGTTCCTAGCAGTTCTAAATATTTGTTTCAGTTACTTCTGTTTCCATATTTTCAAATTCCCTTTTGTTTTTTTAAACTAGTGTCTAGTGACCTGGGCTGCTTTGTTTTCTGTTAGGGCTCTCTGCTTTCTATGTATTTATGGAGGTAAGTTGCTAGTAGGCTTATAGTGGAGCTTTCCTCTGCTTGGTGATGATACTTTCTATGCAAGGTTTTCTTTCTTTGTGACTTTTTTATTGCTTGTTTAATGGTCTTTGAAATTATCTGTTTTTGAAGAAAGCCTCCCTTGTTTTGTGTTCTGCATGTAGTGTGCAGCTCACTTCATTGTCTTCTAAAATATGCTTAAAGATGAGATGGAATATGTTTAGCTGTTAGTCTTAAGAACAAGTATCCTGCATAGGAAGATAACAGGGCTAAGGTTGGTATGTTTGAGAACAAAACAAGAAAGTGCAAACTGGGGTCTGTGGAATGGCAATAAAAACTTAGGTTTTGCACTTTGTCTTCCAATAAGCAAGCTGGAAGAACTGAGTTGGAGGCAGAGGAGGGAAGGGGGGAAAAGGCAGCTCTGTGCCTGATTCTCTGACAGATTATTTTCAATTCTGCCCTGCTTTCTTTTTCAACCCACTTTTTCCCAGCCCTGATTCTTTCCTGGGCTTTAATTCCTAGGTAGGGCATAATTGCACTGCTGCTTTGCTTCTGGTCTTGGGCAGTGGTACAACTCTTAAGATTAAGAAGTAGTTCAGAAAAACATCTTGGTATTCACATACATTTCACAGAAACATAGAATCATTTAACTTGGAGAAGGCCTGAAGGATCACCAGTCATAACTCAGCAGTGCCAAGTTCACCACCAAACCATGTCCCCAGGGTCCAGATCTGCACATCTTTTAGATACCTCCAGCAATGGTGATCCAACCCCTTCCCTGGACAGCCTGTTCCAGTGTTTAATAGCCCATTTGGTGAAGAAATTTTCCTAATCTTCAATCTAAACCTCCTCTTGTGCAGTTTTCTCTTGGGCTGTCATTTGTTACTTAGGAGAAGAGACCAGACCCCACCTCACAAAAATCTGCTTTCAGGGAGTTGTAGAGAGCAGTGAGGTCTCCCTGGCTCTCCAGGGAGAACATCCTCAGCAGGCCTTATGCTCCTTCCCCAGTTTTGTTGCCCTACTTTTTACACACAATTTTGAGAATATTTTAATAAAATCCAGGTTTTGCATCTGCTGATTTGAATTGTGCAAATAACTTTTTCTTGCTTGTTTACAAATCCTTGCACTGCCTTTGATAATTGGACTGTTCCCAGCATCAATGACCCAAATACTTTTCTACTACAACTGCTGGAAGAAGTTATGTTACAGTGTCACAATTCTCTAACTCTACTTAACCATTTATTAAAACTAGTGTAATTCACACAGATGAACTTCTGTGGAATTATGTTACTTAAAAACAGTCCAGTCTGGCATTGATGTAATCACAAATTGTATTTGTTTTTGTGTGTGTGTGTGTGTAAGCAACAAAAATTCGAACTGGGGTGAAAAAAAGTAGCACCAGTGTTGGACTTTTCTCTCTAGTGTTTAAAAGCATTTTCTAACAGTTTTATGTAGTCTTTTAATTTAAGGAAGTGTGGTATATGCACTGATAACAGGGCCATGTGTTCTCTTGAAATGTAGATGATTTTTGACTCATTGTATAGACATAATTGGCAGACTAACTAATCCTTACCTGTAGAGAATTTAAATGTAAATGAGTATAGGGTTCTGATACTTTAGGGAAGGTGAGTTATTTTGGGGTCTGAAGGTTTAGAATATTTCCCCTGCAAGGGAAAGGTTTGGAAAGAAAAGGAAAATCTTCATAATCTTCTTACTTGAAGTGAGCAACTTTCTCTGTTTCCTTCCCCAGAGATCTGCAGTCATATTATGTTTTTGTGAGCTCGTGGATGACAAAAATGGAATCTATCTTGTCCAAGGAGCAGCGCACAACAAAGTTTTCTGAAGATCTTTCTAACCGCTGCAATGTCTTCATCCAGGTGTGCAATCTTTTAATGTGGTGATGCAGCAAACTGATGTTTTGGTGCAAGTTGTTGAACATAAAAAGAAATCACAGGAGCTCTGTGATCACTGGTGTGTAATGTCACAGTTTTGGAATTCTTATAAAGTTTTTAATGTCCAGTACTCTTCCAAGAAAATCTGTAAAAGATCTTTTGATAAAGAATGTGGGGAGAGGGAATCTGACTAAATATTCAGTAGCTAGAATTTTGGATTTTTCTCGACACAGGAAATCAAGAAAGCTTAACCTTCTCTGTAGTAAAGGTTTTGGGTTTCTTTCCTTTTGAGTCATGAGGTACTTACAGTGGACTGAACTGGTGTCTATTTAGTTTTATCTAGGACAGTACATACTCCCAGTAAAGGTTTTGTGTTGTTTCATTGTGCTTTGCCTAGTGATGATACATGGTAAGAATCTTACTACCTTCCAAGACAGCTGGGGTATTTTTGCCTACAAACAGCATGTAATCTTAATTATTTCTTAATTTATTTTTTGCTAGTTTTTATAAGTATCTATCTCTCTGACAGAAATTTGATGAGAATAAGGTGTGTGAAAGTGGCATGATCTTGAGTCTCCTTTAGCTAAAGATAGGCATGTACCAGGATCTGTGTTTTTTACATTTGAATTAGTTGCAGTGGACTTAAAAATTTGCTCCATACTGAATTGAGTTTGCCACACCACTTACTGTATTTTCCTAGTCCCTTTTTAGTTTTTTCTTTTTTGTTACTGCTTCTTCTTTGAAGTAAGTTTAATAATTGTTTGTCATGTTGTATATAATCAACATTTTAAAGCTTAGCATATATTGATGTAGAAATTATTGGTATCTTTATTATGGGATGGACATTTCTATTTAGAAAGTGTAAAGCTGTCTAAATACTGTCAGTGTATTTGTTCCACAGAATCTGGAAGGTTTAGATTGTTTTTGTGATGGGATATTTCTTAGGGAGATGGAAATTGTTTGATGGGTTGGTTTACAATAGACTGAAGCTATTAGACCTTTGAGGCTCTGTGATTATTTGACTCACTAAACTGTGTTTAATTGGAATGGCTTTAGAAGATGTTAATCAGATGATCTAATGAGTCATAGGCAGTTTCATGGTGTCTGCTAATAAAAGGGTCTCATTCAGCTTTGGTATCCCAGGCTTGATTAGTGGATTGGTAGACTCTCTGTTGTGCAAAGGCAAAGATTAGCTGTCATGTATGGAATGGAACAGAGGGCACTTACTTTATTGACATATGGAAAAACTGAGTTTTAATTTTTCTTCCCCTTGTATTCATTTTATTTTTAGGGTTTTCTTTATGCATACAGTCTTAGCAACATCATTAAAACAACAATGAATCTTTACATGTCAATGCAAAAACCTATGACCAAAACCTCAGTAAAAGCCTTGTGCAGACTTGTGGAGCTTCTGAAGGTAGGTCACTGGATGAAAATTACTTCTTTCATGTAGGAAATACAGAGAACATTGACCAAACATCCCATATTAAAAAAAACTGTGATGAGAAGTGTTTTTGCATGCATGACCTCTTGTTTGAGAGTGGTTTGGTTAGAGAATAGATTAGGGAGGCTAGGACTGAGTTGGTTTGTTCGTTTGTTTGGTTTTTTTCCATAGCTTCTAACTGACTTCCTTAGTTGATGTCACAGAATGTTTGAGGTTGGAAGGTATCTCTGGAGATCATTGGTCCAGCTATCCCTTCTCAAGCAGAGACATGTAGAGCCAGTTGTCCAGAACTGTGTCCAGATGAATTTTGAATATCTGCAAAGGTGGAGACTCCACAACCTTTCTGGCCAATCAGACTGTGACAGTGCTTGGTTATCCTCATAGTAAGAAAGTGTTTTCTGATGTTCAGAGGGAAACTCCTGTGTTTCAGTTTGTGCTCATTGCCCCTTGTTGTGTCACTGGGCACATCTGACAAGAGCCTGGCTCCATCTTCTTTGCACCCTCCCTCCAGGTATTTATGTACAATGGCAAGATCCCCCTCCAAGTCTTTTCTTCTCTGGCTGAACAGTCCCAGCTCTCCCAGCCTTTCCTCACATTTGAGGTGCTCCAGTCTGTGAATTACCTTCATGGCCCTTGGCTCGACTCTCTCCAGTGTGTCCATGTCTCTCTTGTACTGAGGAGCCAAGAACTGGACCCAGGACTCCAGATGTGGCCTCACGAGTGCTGAACAGGGGGAAGGGTCACCTCCTTCGAGCTGCCAGCAAAGTGTTGTCCAGTGGAGCCAAAGCTACCGTTGGCCTTCTTTGGGACAAGGGCACATTGCTGCCTTGCACTCTACCTGCTGTTCACCAGGACCCCCCAGGTTCTTTCCTTCCAAGCTGCTTTCCAGTTGGGTGATTCCTGGTATATACTCGTGTATGGGAGATTGTTCCTCCCCAGATGTGGCACTTCATGTTTCTCCTGGTAGTTTTTCCAAAAAGAAGATACTCTTTTTCATGATAACTTCAGAAAGCAGTGGTGAACAAAACAGAAAAAAAAATCCAAAACCAAAAAACAAAACTTAAATCAGTCCTGAAACTTTTTAATGCTCATAAATAGTTTTATTTTCTTGGTTTCTAAGGGTTAATTGTAACTGCTAGTAACAGCACGCTACAAAATTGAAGGAGTCTGTATTTGCAGTGTGGGTGAGTCACACAGCATAAAGCCAGATTCCTAAGGCAGCAATTTTGGTAGCTACATGAGCTAATGTGTTTTGGGATTGACTTCAGGCAATAGAATATATGTTTTACCGAAGAAGCATGGTTGTGGCAGACTCTGTGACGCACATCACTCAGCATCTGCAGTATCAGGCTCTTCTCTCTATCTCTGTGGCCAAGGTATGTAATCAAAGTTCTAATAATTAATCTCCCTAAGTATTTTAAAAACTATTAAGTTTAATTTAAAGTGGTTTTTGTATTTTTTCTACATGTGTAGTGTAATGCTCTATCATAATCCAGAGATATATAAGCTTTTCAGTCATTCCAAGCTTTTTCCTAGAGAACTGTACAGCATAGATGATTACCTGTTTTTTGACTAAAAAATGGTTCCCCTCTTCCTCTAAGCTGCTGCATCTCTTGTTATCCTCTTCTTTTGTTCTTTTTAGATTTTATTTCTTGTGAGTTTTCACAAGCTGATGTTTGCTTACATCTTTTCTGATGCACATTGATAAAGCAACCTGTTGCTGGGCTAAGCAAACAGGCTGTTACTTAAATCTTTGTCTTTTTGGCAAAATAGCAGTACGTGATGGCTTACAGCAGCCTACTGTGGGCATAAATTCTGTTTCACTGTGGAATAAAATAATTTCTATTGCTTGTCAAACCTTGAATTTCAGAATTCAGGTCGAAGGGAAAAATGAGACTTTAGTATGCCTGTTCTGATGTATTACTCATTGGTTTTATTCTTCCATCACATTCAGTTGCAGAGTTACAAAGGATATGTGCTATTGTTACTGGTGCAGCTATGAAATTTCCTTTTTATTTGACTGTAATCTCAATTTATGTATCTGGCATCTCTATATTTTCTAGGGTAAGCAAAAAAATAGTTATATCTATAAAAATTTATATACAGATATATAAATTGAACTGAGGAGTTTCCAAACTTCAAAGTCACTAAGAAAAATTGTGTATCTTCAAATGCTTCATGTATATATATATATATCTTTCATAAACATTTCAAATTATAGCTGTAATTACATTGCAATTATTTTTAAATTAAGAAAAATATGTTATAACTTTTGCACTGAAGGATATTAAACACTTGTGTAAACAGGTCTTGATATTTTGACTGCTTATCAGAAAATATGTTAAAAGGCAAATGCTGGTAAATAGAAGGATCCATTAGTATGACTTAACCTATGTTCATGTTGGCTGCGCATATTCCAAGAGTATAGACAGATAATATCACTGAATTGGCAGAGTAAGTGAATTTGGATTCAGTTAACTCTGTTCACAAAATATATTTGCAGAAATACTCAATTTATGACTACTCCACAAGCTTTGGGAAGAAGTAGTAAGCTATTGCCTTTAGGCTTAGGTAACTTTTCTCTGAATTTCTGTGTCTTTTTGTCATCAAGAAAAGGGTGATTTCTGATAGAAAGTACAGTGAGCAGCGCCTGGATGTCCTCTCTGCTTTGGTGTTGGCTGAGAACACCCTCAATGGGCCAAGCACAAAACAGAGGCGACTGATTGTTTCCCTTGCACTGAATGTGGGAACACAGATGGTAAGTGCCATCATTGTGCCAGCCCTTCATTTGTTTGGTGGAGTGTCTTATGAAAAAGTATCAGCTTGTGATCTCATGTGGGTTTTTTTCCTTCATTTCTACAGAAAACATTTAAAGATGAAGAACTTATTCCCCTTCAGTTAGTTCTGAAAAAACTGGACTTGATCAGTGAACTTACAGAGAGGTAAGCAATGACAGCAGTATATAGAAGGTAGCATAGTGTCTTGGGGGAGGTGGATCCTCACTGTGTGAATAGTAAAATCTGGTCTCTGCATGCTGGTGGTGATTTTTGCATATTTTTTAGACCGGGAATGAACAGAAAGAATTACAGAGTTAAGCCAGAAGCTCACGTGTCTTTGTGCAAGTTATATTTCACCTGGTTGTTGATTGTTTAGAAATTCTGTGACTTTCTTGGATGACTTGGTTTTATGATAATCTGAAGTGTTCCCGTTAGCCCAACCCCAAAATTTCTGAGTTAGTATCAGTCTGTTTGGGAGATTGGGCTGCTAGTTTACATGTGAACCATGTTTTACTGCTGCTGTAGTTTCTGTGCGCACTCAAGTTATGTCATGCTGGCCATTTGTAAGCCAGGTGAATATCTGGGTTCCATGCAGTTTCTAGGGGAGAGACAAACACCTTTAGTGGTTTGTAGTAAACCCCACAGGTTTAACAAAGGCACCATGGAGGACTTAACAATAGGAATGCTGACACAGCAGCAGAGAAGTTCCTGACCCTCTGACTCAGAGCCTATCTTTATACCCTTTTAAGGAAAAACCTTGTATTGGTCATTTTATGGTCCCTCTGACCCTTTGCCATTGGTCAAGCTTGGATTCTGGCCAAGGCTATAAAAGTAGCATACTGTACCCCTACTAACTTAGAAGAAGAAGAGCTGAGACCCTTCATGGACTCCCCAAATAAAGCCATCTTCGTGGAATAGCTGGCGTCTTCTTCCTTCTCATCTCTCTCCATCTGCTGGAGCCTCGAGCCAAGGGCAAACTTACCCAGCAGCAAGCTGAAATCTTATGAACTGGCTAATCACTACAAGAGCTGAATCTCACCCTGCTTGCTGGCAGTTTGACCCGCCGCGTCTTGGTCTAAGCGAGCTAGCTTCTGGCACTCTGTGCCCCTGGGGACAGAGATCCCGGGCTCGTGCTCTGCCTGGGATCAGGCCAATACGGGCTCTCTTAGTGGTTGACTTATGAGATACAACCTGTCTGCATTTATCCCAGGAATTTATCAGGAGAGGACTGTTTCTCCTTTGACTTACAGGAGAAATTTAGAAAATATGTTTGATCTCTAGGCTATTAATTGCATGTAGTAAGAAAACAGTTATTTAGGAATTTGCTGTAATGTAAGATTTAAGTCTTTCAGAGACTGAGTTAACTTTTTCTCAAAAGCAAGTACCTTTGATTTATATATAGGCTAGTGGAAAAAAAAAGTTTTTATTAAAGAACTTTCTTCTAATGGTCAGTGCATCTGGAACATTAAAGTAATGGTGTAAAACTTAGGCTTGAAATGCACTTGTCTTTAGTTTCAACACACTCACTGTGTTAGAAGAATGTTTTCTTCCAAATCTGTGTCTAACAATTAAACTTTTATTCCAGAGTTCGAGCACAATGTGACTGTTGTTTCTTATACTGGCATCGAGCTGTCTTTCCAATCTATTTAGATGATGTCTATGAAAATGCAGTGGATTCTGCTAGACTACATGTAAGTAATAATGTTAAAATTGTTGTGACAGATTCAGATGAATAAATGATAAACCTCAGACTGAAGCTCTTAAATGAAGAGCTCAAAAAGCAAATCCGTGACTACTACTGAGTCAGACATTTCTTCTCATCCTGGAGGATATAAAAGCAATATTTGTTCTAAATCTATTAGATTTCTTTAAAAAATCTCGGGTTGCCATTGTTGACTCTGTGTCTGTCTCTTTGTTTCTCTCTTCATTCTAATTTGAAATGAACACCAGCTAGACTTCAACAGTAAAAGTCTTTGTTCCTCTTTGTGGTTACGTATTTCTAAAGCATTTATCACTGTGTTCAGGGGTTCTGTGTTAGATAGTTGTTCTGTAGTTTTTTCCACCCCTCATCTCTTCTCCTCATGTTGAAGTAATGTGTGCTTTCTGCAGATGTGAATCAGGCTTTGGCGTGATAATCCTGATAAAAATCAAATGTCTGTTCCAGGGTTGTATAGTACTGAAATGAATAAAGTGCAAATAATTTCTGATGAAATAGCTAATAATTAGGATCTTCCAGTCAGTAGCAAATAATACCTCAGATTAAGTACAGGACACTTCAGTAGGGTTTATGAAGTCAGTTTTTAATGAAAATGGGAAGACTAGTGGTTCTGATTTTTGATAGCTTTGAACTCTGTTTGAGGTGCTGGTGACATATCTGTCTGTTAATAATATGTGTTTTTTAATAAGTATATGTTTAGTGCACTACGGGACTGTGAACCTGCTATGATGTATGCAAGACACTTGGAATCTTATGAGGTGCTTCTGGAATGCTATGACAAAGAAATCATGGAAGTGCTCAATGAGGTAATTTTTTGTGGTTGGGAATTAAACACACCACTGTGCTTGAAATATCTTTAGCTCAGATTAGCATCTATTGTAGCAAATCTGATATGATCTGTAAAGATAGCACAGAGAACTTTAGTGTGAAGTGTTTTAATAAATAGGAAAGTGTTTGGTTTGACTGACAATTTTGGTTATTTAAGACTCATGTTTAATGGTATCTGTGTTGGCTGGGAACATGAAAATACTGCACTCTAAATTATGTAAATTTACAAAACCTCAGTTATAGATTTGACTGTGCAGACAGAGGAGTGCTTTTTTTCAGATTAGCTTCTGTTTGGATGAATGCCTAAAATCAATGCTACTGTTCTTAGTTTCCATGCATGGCTTTTAGTAGTGAAGGGTCTGCAAATACAGATGCCCTCTTGAGTGAATTATTATCTAGAATTATGAAGGAGATTTGACAAAGAAAATGCAAATTTGGATTTCCCAAGTCTTAGTTTGTAACCTTTGAAATATGCATTTTATTTCACTAGTTCAAGACAAAACATTACATATTATTCAGAAAATCAGACCAAATTTCTTATTGCAAGGCTCTTCCTCACTGAATTTGTTCTTACTATTTAGATAGATAGCCCTAAGCTTAGTTCCCCTTAAAATGAGGAGTGAGAATACTTGAGTTGTGTTAAACTTTCATGTGGAAGTTTTAAGCATGTAAAAAATGACATTAGGTAGGTAAACCTTTATGTTTTCTGAGCTGGGTAGCTTTTTCTTGCTATTTGTACTAGAACAAGAACACAGGAAATCAGTATCTTTCTGATTCCCAAGTATTTATTCACTTTGACTGGTGTGGCCTTACCAAAGCAAAGCTTTCTTCACTAGTTTAATCAGTCTTACACATATCTGTGGAGAGAAATGTTGATTCTTCTAACAGAGCATTGTAAGTGGACACTGAACATGACTTTTTTTGTGTGTGTGTTATTTGTTTGTGTGTTTGTTTGGTGTTTTGGTGGGTTTTCCTTTTGTTTTTGTTTTTTTAACCTTTTTGAATAGCACTTGCTGGACAAATTGTGTAAAGAAATAGAAAAGGACCTGCGCTTATCAGTTCACACTCACCTGAAGCTAGATGACAGAAATCCCTTCAGAGCTGGCATGAAGGACCTGGCTCACTTCTTCTTTCTGAACCCAATACGCTTTTTCAATCGGTTCATTGACATAAAAGGTAAGGAGTTATGCATTTGCTTGGTTCTATTATTTTCATCTAATATACTTTGGCTTTGTATATCTTTTCACTTCTTTACACACTTTCCTAACTAAATAGATAGCATTATTTTAGTTCATCCTTCGTGTTCACAGCTTATGTAACTCATTATTTGGACAAGACCTTCTACAACTTAACAACTGTAGCACTTCACGACTGGGCCACCTACAGTGAGATGAGAAATTTGGCAACCCAGCGCTATGGTTTAAGTATGACTGAGGCTCACCTTCCCAGCCAGACTCTGGAGCAGGTACAGTGCCCACAGGGCAGGAATAGAATTTAAACCACCATTCCACTGTCATAGGACTGAATCACTGAAATGAAAGTATCCAAGAGCAGAGAACTGTTTGGAAAAAGTGACCTTTAATTTCTGGTTGAATTGTGAGGCAGCATCTGTATCTGCCTTTGGAGATCACACTGATATTCATTAATGTTATGTTGGACTTGAATTTTTCATTTTTTTAATGTAATGTAATGAAATGAATTGAGTATGCAAAGCCAGAGACAGTGTTCTTGAAAATTCAGTGTCAGCAGTTTGGCAAACTGCCAAGACAACTGTTACAAGTCTGGAATGACCTTTGAATGATGGGTCTTCCTCCCTGGTTTATTGCTAGCTTTTGCTTAGTGATCATCAAGAGAAATTATTTCACAGGCTGGAGATGGAAGACTTTGGGACACCTGTGAATTAGATTCTAGGAGAGTGATTTAGAGCCTCCTAAAAGCTGCTAAACATGGTGACATTCAGAATAAAGTTGTGGAGTCATCAAGTTAGTGGTGAAGATATTCGCTGTTACAGGGTCTACATATTGCATAGTTCTGGAGACTTTCCTTCTGGAGTTATAATATCTTGGACATTTTTGACAGTTTGCTTCTTTCCCTCATTTAAGTTAGCACATTGGTGAAGGCTCTTAGAAACACAGCCCCTTTTTTTCTAATGTTCATAATGGCTGTGTCTTCCTAAGTTGAAAGACTGCATAGAACTAAGAACTTCAGCTGTTTTTTTGGCACAGAAGTGCTGTAGATCAGTTTCTGTTTCCAGCTTTGGTTTTCTCTTGGCCATATTTGATCAGCACATTGTTACAAAGAACTAAACAATTTAACAAATTGGTTTCATAACATTGATTCTGGTATGAACTTTACTTCACAACAAAGACACCTCACACTTCAAAAACCCCCAGCCTCAAAAGCATGACGAAATCCCTGGCACAACTGGAAATAGGGTATATAAATTAAATAGCATCATCTCTAGGCACAATGATAATTAAAGGACTCCTTAGGGGAAATAGTGTAAACAGTTGTAAAATTTATACTGTTAAATAGCAAACTTCAGTATTTTTTACAGGTTGGGTCAACAGTACTGATAATTAGCTAGTTGCTTATTTCTCTGTAGACATCTATATGTCTGTAGAAATCTCTAAGGCAAGATTCTATATTTTAGAATGTGAAAACAGATACATCTCAATTTTTAATTTTTTATTGTTTAATTCCACCTTGTGGAATAGGCTGGAGAATTCCTTACTTTCAGGGGAAGCTGGAAAAAGCCAGGCAGGAGTGCAAATATTAAAACATGGGCTGAGCTGCTTTTTTCTCCTCTAAATGTTATCTTTCAGACACCAAACAGAAATTATTAAGAGGTTCTTAATTTTGCAAAGAAAGACACTGCTTTCTAAAATACCTTCAAATAACTGCATAAATAGTATTTCTGCACCTTAGTGTTTAGGTGTGTCAGGAGGTCTTGAGAAGTCTTATCATAGTAATTCTCAATAAATAATATTGTTTCAGGGTCTGGATGTTTTGGAAATCATGAGAAATATTCATGTTTTTGTATCCCGCTACCTCTACAATCTGAATAATCAGGTAAGGTATATCCCATACTTTTCCTGGCATTTGGCTCCAATTTGAAGGGATTGTGAAATGCAGAGTGTAGTACGCATTAAAAAAACCCAGGCTGAACATGCATAGTGAGAGGCTATAAAATGGTATTGGTGCTTGAGAAAAACATCTTGGGGGATGCTATGGCTTGGTTTTGGAGAATGTTGTGTAGCATATTTTAAAAATGTGTTGCCAGTAGGATCACTGCATGTCAATTTTCCAGGGAAGCCAGATGACAGCAAGGATAATTGGCTGCTCTATAAGAACATACTAAGTATGGTATGATTTTTGAGCTTGAAAAATGTGTATCTGAAAATGGCTTATTGGAGAGATGAAGCGGTGAATGACATGGAGAACATGGACAGGGAACAAACCTTTGGGGTTTCTCACAGTGTGAGAATGAGGTGCCCATTACAAAAATGAGCAACTTCCTGAAAGAAAATAAGTACCTTTTTTCATAGCTTAAAATTCAGTAGTGGAACTCATTGCTCTGGTATATATGGGGTCAAAAGTGCAAACAGGTGCCAAAAGAATTTAGACCACTTATAATCTCAGATATGGGAGTCTTTAGTGCAACATCTGCCTTAGAATTGTTGAATCAATGCTGTGTTGAAGTTGGAAGAATTGACTAAATAAAGTTCATTGTATCCATGCTGGATTTTCTTGGTTCTTTCCCTAATCACCAGTTATCAGCTGCTCTCAGGATATGGGCTATTTTGATCAATAATTTATCACAGAACCAATTTTGAGTACTTAACTTTATTTTCCCTCCCTGCCTCCCAGATCTTCATTGAAAAAACAAGTAATAACAAACACTTGAACACCATCAATATCCGACACATCGCTAACTCAATTCGAACTCACGGAACAGGAATCATGAACACAACAGTGAGTATCTTTTGCTCCGCTGCTGTTGGGTTATTTGTTTGTGATTGTGCACAAAAACCTCCTCCTTGCATCTCCTAATAGTTTATTTGGTTATGCAGTTTTAATAATGCAGTAATAATGTTCTCCATGAATTAATAAAACAAATGAGTTCTTGGATATGGCACAAATCACAATGTTTTGAGTGCTATCACTTCCAGTTACCTATATGTTAAGGAAGCAATCTAAAACCACATCAAAGGAGAAATAGATGTGCCGGTTGGACTGTTCTAGACAGTATGGTCTGATTTTCTCCTTATTGACACTTAACTGCAGCAAAAGTATCTCTCTATTAAAGCAAATCTTGAAAAAATGCAATGTTGATTTTTGAAGTTCTTCTTGTAATTGTTATACTTAAGAAATACTAGCTTTTCAATTTGCAAAATAAAGCTGCAGACCTCTGATCACTTGTTGGAAAAATGGGTTCCTATTACAAAGCTTTAAATGATGTCTGAGGTGTAGGTGGCCATTTTAACCAGCCAAAGGTATTTGCCTCTTTGCAAGGTAAATACAAAGAGGTGCATTGTGTCTGCTACAGCAGGAATTTGTCATTGGAATTCTCAAATTTGGATACAGTGACAAAGGTGTTTTCAGGTCAGTGCTTTTCAGTCTGCTGCTTCAGTTCTACCTTGTTGCTGTTTCCTTTTATCTATTCTTCTGGCTCTATCAAATAAGGAAAAAAAAAAAAGAAAATGAATTTGTTGAAATATTGAACCCATTCTCAAGTCATTATTTCAGAAGTGGAAATTACTAAAAGTTTTGATGATTTCTTTCACTTTTCTTCTGAGAGTGGGACTGTGGGGACTGTCTCAAAAAATGCTGCTACAAACATTATTTTTTGGTGATGTAGATTTACTCACTTGTGATGGTGAGTTAAGTTGTTTTGGCAGACATGAGAAGTATTGAGGTAAGAAAGTACTTTAGAAAACTTTTTGAGGAAGTAAAAAAGTTGTGTCAGGAGGTTATGAAGATTCTACAGACTGAGGAAGTTGATCGTGTCTGCCTGTTTCCACTTGATCTTTGTATTGTTTCAAAAGGGCAGTTACAGGGTATTCCAGATAAACTAATGGCTGTGTAGGGCAGGGGATCAACTGAAATACTGACCTTGTTCCTTGGTCCTTTCCTGAAAGAGAGTAGGCCTTCCAGGAGAATGTTTATTCATTTTTTCTTATTCTTTTAAAACAGTGAAATTAAAGTAAGTTGAGAACTTGCATTAGAAGTTACTCAGGCATGTGGTGAAAACAGGGTGTTAGATGCCTTTGTTTTACTTTGTTAACTTTTTTGATTTGACATTTTTTTTCTTCTTGCCTTCAAGGTAAATTTCACTTACCAGTTCTTGAGGAAAAAGTTTTACATTTTTAGCCAGTTCATGTATGATGAACATATCAAATCCAGACTTATCAAAGACATCAGATTCTTCAGAGAAGTCAAAGATCAAAGTGATCACAAGGTATAGTAGTTTTTGAAGGCTCAAGAGTATTTTTCTAAAAGAAGTGCTACTGTCATGTGACCAAACCATAACCCAGCTATTATTCAAATGTGTTTCCCCAGACAAAGGGACAGCTTTTCTCCTGGCAAAATGCAGTGTTACCAATGTCTGTATTCAGGAGGGCTTTGTTTCATTCTGTCTGCTGTGTAAATCTGGAGTTGGCTAAAATCATTCTCTTCAGTGGCTTAAGGATGATTTGATGGAGTTGTAGTCTGTTGAAGGTTGCTTCCTGTTCAAGTCATGCATAATAGTTTTCAGTTTTGAATAATGAGCTTACTTGAATGGAATCCAAATACTAGCACTCATTCTAGTATGTCAGGATTTGGGAATGAGGTTTTCCATCCTAGAAGATTGTCTTAAAAATGAGAGAGACAATGTATTTCGTAAATTAGACTGCTAGCTTCTTTACATGTCCAGTGCTTATTTGTTTAAGAATACTTTCTTTTTCAAAGTAAAACTATTTAACTTGTCAACTTGCAGAAGTGACTTAGTAAAATGACTCTTGGGAACTAATACAGACAAGCAGGTCTATAATTTATAAAAAAAAAGCTGTAAATGTGACGTAGAACTACATTTCGAATAGAACTTTATTGATATGATGAAAAGCTTTTTTTCTAACGGTAGGTAATTATTACAAATAATTTAAAATTTTTTTTCTAGTATCCCTTTGAAAGAGCAGATAAATTCAACCGTGGCATCAGAAAACTTGGAATAACTCCAGATGGCCAGAGCTATCTTGACCAGTTCAGACAACTCATAAGTCAAATTGGTACGAAATGCTATCTAATGTTTTATAAATGTTATTAAATGTAAGAGATCTTCATCACCTAGTAACTGACCTTTTAGCTGAGGCTAAAGCTAGATTTATTTGCACTCAGATGGAAAATAGTTCACTTGTATCCCATGCTAAGAACGTGCTCTCACCTATTTACACAGAAATGGCCTTTACATGTCTTAATCTAAAACACAGTTATAGCTTGCATAGATTCCTGTTCCCTTTTTAGTTCTTTTCTTTGTTATGGAACTGACTTTTACCCATGTTGAGTGTATTTCCTAGTAAAAACCTATCAGTGCTTAGTTTCGTGTATTTCAAAAATGAGCCCTATATCCAGCTGAAGTATCCTCCTTGAGTGGTGCATGATGTGACAATGATATTTTCAGCCACTGATGCTGTAAATGTGCAGAACTGATCTGAACTTACAACTGTTTAATGTGCCCACTGGAAAGAGTTTGTACCGAAGTGGACAAAACCTTGCTTGATGATGCATTTTTGTTTTATTTCTTTACATAGACTTTTGATAGCAGGGTTCAATTTAACTTCTCTTAACTTAGCTTTCAGAGCCAAGTTCTGTGCCAGAACTACATGGCAACTTTAATTTACATTTCAGAGCCTATAGGAGCTATGCAGAGTGTATGTGTGTTTAAGTAATTATAAATTGCTTCTTTGTTTTTTCTTGTTTTTAAAGGCAACGCTTTGGGTTATGTACGAATGATAAGATCTGGTGGACTTCACTGCTGCAGTAGTGCCATTAGGTATTTCTACAAATAGTTCATTTTTCTCTTAGCTCCTTCTCTTCCCCTTGCTCTCTATTCTTGCTGATATTCCCTAAACCCTTACCTATTCCCCATCAATTTTGAAAAGCTCCATTTATATGCTTTTATTTAAGTGTAATTCTTGAAGACAGTGCTGGGATTCAGCACTGTATAGTCATGGACATAAATCACTAAAAATAAAACAATTTCTATCAAAGCATGCAAAAACGTGGCAAAAGAGTTAATAGAATGTACACATTAGTAAGATATTAGTCCATAAGCCAGCAACTTGTGATGTTAAATAATTTCAAGGATGTGTTAAGGAAAAATAATACAAACATTGAAGAACTTGGAAAACACATTCCTTTCATACCTTTTTCTGTACAGATTTTGTCTGTGTTTATGAAAAGTCATTAAAACATAGTAACTTTTACTTAATAAGGAATAGTTCGTTTTCTTGCAAACAGTAGGAAACATAGAGTTACCAAGAGTATCCAGTGCTAGAGGGAGGAGTAAAAACAGAAGTACAACTGATGATGTGTCTGTGTTTAGAAATGAGGTTAATAATGCTTGGATGAGAATGTATGACAGATATGACATAACTTGAACTAAGTAGTTCAAGCCCAGAAGGTTAAATTAAGTAAATTATAAATTAGGGTAGATACTTCAATGAGCATAATCCTAGCAAACAGTAAATTTTCAGGTTTGTTCCTGACCTGGAAGATATTGTTAACTTTGAAGAGCTGGTGAAAGAAGAAGGTCTCTCAGAAGAAACACAAAAAGCAGCAAGGTACACTAACATCATTTGAGGTCTGGAGCAGGGGTGGGATGAGAAAATTGACATTATATGTTACTAAATGCAGCTATTAGTTGTTTGTGTGTGTATGTGTTAAAAGTTCTGCTGCCTTTATGCAAAAATATTTGTTTCTAAGCAAAGCAAATAGAAGCAGTTGTTTTGAAAATGTGAAGTAGCATTGATAGTAATAGACCTAGAACCTGATTTCGTGAAGAAATCCTTGTTCAAAAGTTAACAAGCTTTCCTCTCTGTGTGCCCGAGCTCTACTTTTAAAATTTTCAGGGTCTTAGGTAAAAAAGATGCAAGTGTTCTATTCACAGGCCTTTTTTTGAGGCAATGAAATCAAAAACCAATATTCAAATGGGCTGTAGAGGGAGGGTACTCTCCCAGATCCTGGATTGTGGACATTGGCAAAGGGCAAAGAGATGGTTGTTTTCCAAGAGGTGGGTAAGCAAAGGGATTTTCAGCAGAACTAGGTAACTCATTGCTCATCCCTTGCAGGCAGCTGGACTCTGTGCTGAGTGACCTGACCCGGAACTTTGCAGAGGGAACAGAGTACTTCAAAATGCTGGTGGATGTGTTTGCCCCCGAGTTCCGCAGCACGAAGAACATGCACTTGCGGAACTTCTACATCATTGTTCCCCCCCTGGTGAGTGTCTGCATTGCACCAGGGCTTGCTTCAAAAAGGTCTTGTCAGATCAAGGCTGTGTTTAAATGTTCTGTATTAGACTGTAGTAGCATGTATGACAGTGCTTTGTGACATTTGTGAGTTTCTTTGTGATTCCAAGACAGCCTTTCATTCTTTCAGACCCTCAATTTTGTGGAGCATTCAATCAGTTGCAAGGAGAAGTTGAATAAGAAGAACAAAAGTGGAGCAGCTTTCACTGATGATGGGTTTGCCATGGGTAAGTTTCAGCATTCTCACTAACCTTTGGGTAAGCCAACATAATGGACATTTGCAAGAAAAGTTTTGTTTATACTTTGTTCCCATAATTAAAAATTCCATAATTTATTTGGATTTCTCTTTGCTTCAGCACAAGGGATTTGAGGGTTATGGTTGTGGTCAGAATTTCCTAACCATGGAATAGGTGTGTATGGGAGCAGACAGTTTTAACACATTGGTGTTTCCAAATTTCTTTCCAAGCTTGTGGTTCTCATCCAGATGAGAAGGAATGCAAGTATTTGGAGAAGTGAGGTTTTAAAAAAATTTAAGCTTGTTCTTTATTGTGATTTTTCCTGATAGATGAATTGTAAGTTAATAGCAATTTAAATTATATTTGCATGGAAATATTAACTTAGGTTCATCCACTGAAGACATTCACAAAATGTTTTGCTAATTGCATGTTGACTTCAATACATGGTTTGTTAATGACTAGGTGTGGCTTACATTCTGAAGCTTTTGGATCAGTACCAGGAGTTTGATTCTCTGCACTGGTTCCAGTCTGTTAGAGAGAAGTATGTGAAGGAAATAAGAGCAGTAGCTAAGCAACAGAACGTACAGTCCACTAATCAAGATGAAAAACTACTACAGACTATGAACCTTACCCACAAGCGACTGGAAGTTTGTTTACAGGTACAGCACGAGCCTGGTTACGTGTTCTGGTAACAATTTCTGTTCTGTATTGAGTTCAGCACTTACTCATTACAAATCATGTAACTGTTCTAATGGAACACATTGAGAGCAAAATCCTGAACACTGACTACAGCAACAGTGCAGAAAGAGCATAAAGACTTGGTGTATGACCTGGAGGGGATGCCATTGGTTTTTGTGATATTTGAAGACCTGTTTCATTGGAATTCTTTGTCCCATGGAATTTGAAGGCTAATGCAACTAAACCATAAATGCTTAAATAGGAGAAAATATCTTTTGGTTAAACTTCTTATAACAAGGATTGCACACAAGGATTAACACTGTGAACCCTCAGAGCTGTGTGTTAATTCTGAGCTGCATGATGCATAATGAATGATGCATTACCTATCAAATAGAGGAAAGGTGCATTTGAATTTTTGAGCACAGCAGCTCAGGTTTCATCTATGGTGTGGTGCTTTCTCTCTCTTGATTGGAGAAGCCTATGGGACAAATCTGTCAATGGCTATTTTTACAACCCATGATTACATTCTGTAATGTCTTGTTGGAATAGATAAAGCCCTGTATGCCCTCATGGTTCCCAGGAGTGTGCACTGTTTGGTCCTCTGTTAAAAAAACACATCGCTGAGCCTTGTTCATACAGGCTTGTGGTTGTTTAAACTATTGGTTGCATGAGTTTCCATGGGCAAGTTGCTCTGTTCTCACTGCTGTTACAAACCTCATTTTCAGCCTCAGTAGATCAGTGACAGATGTATTGCAGTGATGCTGCTTTGCTTAGGTTGCCCTTTAATGTAATTTGACGTTTGCTTTGTAAAATGTGTGTGAATAAGGAATGAAAGGAGGAAGATTTTCAAGAGCATTTAAGTGATTTAGATACCGAAATCTAGGAGCCTAAGATACTAATGAAAAATCCCATTGATATTTGTCTACATATTTGTGATACACTGATGCTCCTCTTTATCTTTTCCCTTAGGAATTTGAACTCCTCTATTTCTCGCTAAGTAGTGCAAGAATTTTTTTCAGAGCAGATAAAACTGCAGCAGAAGAAAGCCAGGAAAAGAAAGAAAAAGAAGGTGAGTGAATCCTATATATAGATCATTTTGGCTAATGAGATTGTGTGCCTTAATAGAGTTTTTTTTTAATATCTGCTTTCTTGCTCATAGGTTAATGAGAGAGGTTTATGTGGTCATGGGTGATTTAGACTCAGCAAGAACAGCTCAAGAAGTCCTTCTTTGGAATATGTGAATTCCAAGCTGGGCTTCTGGAGTGTGGGGAAAAAAAAAAAAAACGCCACCACAGAAGACCCAGCTGACAAAAAAATGGGCTGTAAAGCCTGGTACAGGGAGAATTGCATACTTGCAGTAATATTAAATTCAGTAACTTCAGCATCCTTACCTCTTCAGTTACCAATGTTGACAATGACAGCCTTAGGTGGTGGTTTTCACCTTTTGTACTGGCTGGCTTTCAACTTACATAGCAGATGATGCAGTTACTATAGATATTTAGATGTTTGATATGCTTGTTCTCCCATTGAATTCTATATTCAAATGATAAGATCTTAATTTGTGGTGTGGTCTCTTGACTAGGTAACACTGGTATTTTGCATTTCTATTCCTGGTTGTATATTCTCCCTCATGAATTCTGAAAGATTCTCTTGGGAAAATTCTTTCCAAAGAAATGAGAATGCTCCTAAGGATTAAGATACAGAAATGAAGTTTGGTCACAAGTTACTTAGAAACTCAGGGAACAGTAGTATTTTAAAATTGAATTGGTAAATAATTCTCCACTGTACTTCTGACAAAGGCACGAGTGACCTGTGAGATTATAATCACTGGAGAAAAAGATTAGTTTTCTTCTGCACTAGAAAAACAGTTTGTAAACAAAAATTCTTTTAGCATTAATTTATATTTGATCATATTCAGTGAAGTTGCTCAGATAAATATTCAGTGCAAGAAAAAAAAATAAACAAATTCAAAGAACTCCAAGAATTGTGGGAAGAATAGACATGCTGCTCTGGAGTTTGTAGGAGACCATTCTGGAGAACATCAACTAATTATATTTTAGGTTAAATATTCTCTGTTATGATACTGGTTCAGTTCCCCAGGCAATGTATTTTGCAGGGAGAAAAACTGGAAATGTATACCAGGGTGGAGAGTTTTCAACATGGTAATAATATCTATGCCCTCTACCATGATCTTTGGACTTGGACTCTGAAAAATGTGTGAGCATTGTATATGTAATTTTTAGACAAGTACTGCTGATTGAAGAACCTTTCACCCCAGATAGGAATTTCTTCAAAGGTCTTGTGCTGTGAGATCAGGTTGGATATGCTCACTGTGAAATAGTACATAAGGTGTTCCTGTGGACATCAGCATCGTACATATATATACGCTAGAATTTGAGGGGTTTTGTTTCAAATAGTGTTAAACATGATCCATGTTTTTTTTTTTTTTTTTGTCTTTGTAGAAGAATCTGGTAAAGCAAGCAATGGAGATCTTTCCAACTCTGCACCTGCAGAGCCTGTTGTGAAATGATGTGGCTGGTATGGGTGAAGATTACTTACTCAAATAACTCATGTCCTTGTCTTCATCAGTAACACTCTGTAGGGGCTAAAGCTCTAGATTTGACTTACTTGCTCTGTTAAATCCAAGAGAAGCATACTAGCATCCACTGGGGCTAGGTCTGTGTTTGTCTGTATTTTCTGTAGAAACTCCTATTTTTCAGGAGTTTGCATTATTTACAGCACTTTCTTTAGATTGAAAATAATTTAATAAAATGTTGACCTTGGAGGTATTTTAAAGTACCGATGTGCAGATAAAAAAATCCTTATTAATTTCTAGATGCATTCTCGCATCTCTATCATAGCATTTTAAAAAAACCCAAACTCATAGGCTGTTGGTCCAAGGTTTGAACTGGCATCTTTTCAACCCAAAAAAACCCCTGAATCCAGATATTGGCTGTATCTATTGTCCAAAAAATAATTGAGGCATGTCATTGTGCAGTCCTGTTGCATTTAATGCAGTCACAGATTACACTGTGGGTGTAATGGTATGTTGTGAATATATGTTAAATCTGTTACACAAAATGGAAATGCTTATTACTGTTTTATTCCAAACTCCCTTGTTATTACTATAGACAGTATTTGTACTGTGGGAACTTAGGATCCCATCAAACATTTATTTCCCCCTGTTTTTGCCCCCTTATCAAAGAATGGGGAAACAAGAAAAGTGAATGTTAACAAATTCTCATTTCATACCGATTTGCATCCACAGAAGTAAGGAAATCCAGAGCCAAGACAGAACCACAATCAGCTCTTTCTTTCACGACCAGGCACTGTGATGAGTGTCTGTAACTATTAAGTGATCTCACAGTTCATGAACATGTTGTGCCTAATTGCAAGTTTCAGCCTCAATTCTGTATTTCCTAGCCTTTGTAGGTCTGTTGTACTGGGTGTTGTTCATATAGTCTTACATGCCTGATTATTAACAATAATTGCACTGCAGGCTCAGAAGCTGCTGAACACTGTGAGAGCTCTTATTTAACATCTGTCCATGCCTGCAAGTAGAGGTTCTAGATAGTGCAAGAATTACTCAGATTCCTAACTTAAGTAGCTAGAGTTAAAAGAAAACACCACCTTTATTAAAATATACAGGTGTGTTTTAATCTCCCAGAACATTAACACCCTTCTAGTTCTTACCAACCAGAATACTACTACTACTCCAGTCAGTCCAGCTGAGAGAACTACCCTTGCTGGGGGGTTTTCTGGCACTCTTAAACTGTATTTTTAGACCAAACTTTCTTTAATGTTTGTTTTAATGGTTCAAATTGTTCCACCCACTCTTGGGTCATTGGTTTAAACAATTCCTGACGTACTTTGATTCGCCCTTTCCTGCCAGTCACTTCAACATTCAGACAGCAAGGATCAATGTTTTGTCGCAATTGGAAAGACCAGACTGATATACGAATGTTCCATTTATTGGTTCTGAGAACATGACACACAAGCTTCGTGGACTGTTAAAATCAGCTGGGCTCATTAAAGTTTTTTAGTTCATTGTAACTGCCCTAAAAAATGCTGCATTACTTGATTTATATTTTTGCTTTTTTACTTTGATACAGTTTGTTTTTTTTTAATTTGTGTACACTTTTTTGACCAAACTGTGCCCACACTGAATGCTCAGTAGCATTGCTGAGATCAGCATTCTTGCTGCTGCTTCCCATCCTGCTGCAGTTGCTGTGCACATCCTTCCACAATCCCATCTCTGCTGAAGTCACCCAAGTTTGTGGAGTGGAAGGTTAAGTGCTGCATTTCCTTCTTCCACAGCAACGGCAGAATCACCCACGCATGATGTTCGTTTCCCCAGGATGGCCTTGCTAGGGAGCTGTGTGCAGTCAATACACAGCTCACACTCTAGTCTGCACTTGTATTTTCCCTTCTCCATTTTTTCTTTTGGAGACATTATCTTGCTAAGGTAAGACTTTGCAGTTGAACATAACATGAACTGAGCATTGCCTTCGTGTACAGTAGTTAACAAATTCATGTGGTTCTGGTGATGGAAATTCTAGAGGAAAGACATAGCCTATTTTTATAGATGCCTGTTTAATCTGGGAGAACTGAATGTATACTCTATGTGGCAAAAATATATACATACGTAAACATGTACAGTGATAATAGAGTTATTCTTGCTAATACAGGACTGTAGTTTGTATTTCCTTCTTTCTCTTTGTCATGTAGCAGCATAGACATGCAGAAAGATTTTTCTCATCTGAAATCCAAGGTGGGTCCTGGGTTTAGATGTCATGTGACTGAGTTGCATTAAGTCTTTTTTCTCCCCACAAGGATATGGAAGGGGGGCAAAATTCATGCTGTGGTGCTACAACTCTTTCTGTTGCTTTTGACCTCCTGTCGCAATTACAGGAACCAAATGGACCCTAAATTTTTGTCTGGAGAGGAGAATGGAGCTAAAACAAAAAAATCCCCTAAACTAAACCAAACATGCTCATTCAGAAATTCCCAGGGGTGATAGAAGGGATGATGAATTTTCTGCAGGGATATAAAACATGTCTAGGGTTTTTTTTCCTTCAGAGCAGGGTTGGAACAGGCTAAAGACCAGCCTCTCACCCCCACCAGGCAGCTGTCAGCACTGCCCTCAGGTGTTCAGCCTTGTGCCAAGGCTGCTGGAAGTGCAGCAGCTGCTCTCTGAGGGGTTGTGGACACCCAGCTCTCTGCCAGCCCTGCCACCAAGGGTTTGCATGGCCCCAGCAGCTGCAAACTCCTGGTGCTGAAGGGCACACCCTGCAGATCCTAATGCAGCCTTGAACCAGAAAAACATTTGAGTTGCATCAGACATCCATCAACAGCTGTTTTCAGCTTCTCAGGTACAAAGGACCAAATGTAATACTTAATGTTTCCTAACTCATTGTACAAAAGGGTATTTTGTTACTCCAGTCTCTTTGGTTTGGGAGTAGAGAACGTTATGTATATAAAACTGTGTTAATAAATACAATTTGAGAACCTCATTCCCAGTGTTTTCAATAACACAAGTTCAGTAGGTGTTAATTTTTTTAATAAGATAGCTTCAGCTTTTATTTATGATGAAGTTTTTTTCCACAGTACTTTTAAACATTCAATGACCAGTTAGACTTATTCCACATCAAACACTTCCAATCTGGGATCTTTCAGATACTGTTGCACAGATTCTGCTTATGGAAAATCTAGTTTCTTGGTGACTGAAAAGAGTTAAATTAAGTTTCAGGAATTTCAGGCGTGTTTTCTAGGTACCTTATCTTGATTAATATAAACTATACTACAGCTTACACCCCCGCCCCCACTAACAGCTCTTTATTTTGTCTATTTTGTTTGTTCTTGCAAAGTGATGTTGCTGATGTTTTCAGGATGGAAAAATGTAAACTTATTAGCCAAACCTCTCTAGCGTCTAATCTCAGGAATGTACTGTGAGACTTTTCAGTACCTTGTAGACTGGTAATCTAACATTTTATTGCTCAGTTTCTTAAAATCAAAGGTTGCTGTCAGACTCAGCTGTTGCATGTTACGTAAGAATTCTTACTTCTTCATATAGTAAGAAGTGGCAAGAAACCTAACCACAGAAAAACTGCACACAGCTGCCTGCTTCTGAGGTTTGCATGTCAGTGGTACTTAGAATAATAATCAAGGAAGTACAATTTGTCTATTAATTACAGAATGTGAGAGTACAGTCCCCTGGAAGGTAAGAGTAGGCACTTAAATTTGTTTTGCAAGCTTTTTCTAGATGCAATATAAAAATAGATTATATTAATAGGAAAAATTTAGTGTTTAACAAATTGTTTTGTAAATAGGCTAACACAAAAGGTAAATCTTGTTACACATAAACTAGACTAAAAATAACTTCATCTGAAATAAAGTAGATAGTGCATTTTTAACCTTCAATCAGATGCACATGATCATGCAAACTATGAACATTGACTGTGGTAGGAAATTTGAGGCCTGATATTTGTCAGAGGAGCTGGCAGCTCACACAAATTTCAGTGGAATGAGAGGCTGCTGGCCCTGTAAATGTAAGAAATGTCATTAACCCTTAGTTGCTGACAGCTGTGCTCTCCTGCCCACCAGCAGCACTAGCCTCCTGCTCAGGACTGTCAGCTCCCCAGACACAGTTCCACCCTACACATTCACAAATGCTAAATGCCTCGAGTCCTGCTGTGCTTCCACTGTAAATCCAGAGGGACTCCACTGCAGACACACCACTGCTCTCCAGCAGGAAAGGGCAGCTGGCCTCAGGTGTGTGCAGGTGACTGAAAACCAGAGATTCTTGCAAAAAGACTCCCTGCTTTTCTGCTCCCACACAGGCTGCAGGAAGTGACAGGAGCTGCTTACGCTTCTGATTCCTCCCCTCCTTCATGCATGGTTCCATCCTCTTCTGACAAGTCATGCAGAAGCATGAACTTCCCATCATTTGTTAATGGCACAGACTTCATTAGCTGAGCTAATGCTTCTGGATCCTGAAGAAAAAGAAGAGAGGTCAGCAAACTGCAGCAGCCTTTGAGGAACACACATTTCCCAGTACTTCTTGCTAAGCTTTTGCAACTTTGGCTATTTTTAACAAGCTTTAGAATAAAGATTTAAAATATAAGTAATACCTTTTTGGGTAAGTAAAGACTCAAGTACAGCTTGAGCATTTAAGAAAAAAAAAGTAATTAATTTTGAGCCTTTATTTTGCTTTAGTTACTGAAAAGCAAGGAAAAAAGTAACTGTCTCAAGAATTTATTATACATGTGCTTAGTGGTTGTGACTAAAAGCTCATTCCCCAACTGGTTCTGAAACCTTAGCAGCAAAAATATACAGCAAATAATAACATCACACCTATATAGATAAAATATATCTACAAGGGACAGGATAATTCTGCCATTCATTTTAATTGGAGAAACACTGATTTTCATGCCTAGGTGAGGAAAGAATGTAAGTTTCTAAAAGTGAAACAGCAGTGTGTGTGATTTACACATCATCCCAAAGAGTGTGTTTGGTTTTTTGAAAACTTTGCTCACAGCTTTCTTTCAGACGTGAACATTTGGATTTGTGTCATTTTGAACTTAGATTGGGGTGGCACATTTTCTCTGAAATCACATTACTGAGAAATCAAACAATTTATTTTTGTTGTGTTAAATAATGCCTGCAAAACTGTCCTTAGGAGAAGTAGCAGTTCATTTTTCTTATGCACACCAGAGGTACCTGGACAGTGCAGGTGAAAACCTGAACAAGATGTATCATACACATGTGGGGAATGAAACAAACTTACCCTCTGTGCCTCAATAATTTCTTTTCCCAAGCTAATGGCATAGCATATCTACAAAGAAGAAATACATGTAAAGTTCCATTCAGTTCTGTTTTGGCTTTTTGTTCCTTGATTAAAAATACACCACACAACTGTCAGTGCAGACTGTGTTTTAAAACCAGGTCTAAAAGCAGAGGTGGAATACCAATTTGCTATGATAACTACTGGTGAAGAAAACTATCTTGGGTTCAGCTTCAAAGCTCACAGGGGCTGGTAAGTCTTTGTCAGTTTTAGTCACCACACTTTATTTCCACACTGTGCATGTAAGTGTTTGTAGGGACAAAAGTTCTCCATCCCACTCCTTATTTCTGTTGCAGCAGGCAGCAAACAGTCAATGGTGTAAGCACACACACCATTGTGAAAGCTTCACAGCTGTACATGTCTCAGCATAGCTGACATTCCTTTTGTTACTGCTGCTGCAGCATTTTCCCATCTCTCTTAATGCTGGGATTAGCAATCCCATCCTTTCCTCCTTATACATGCTGCTTCATTATCTGTCCATTTGGTCCCTTTTAGACATAAGCCAGTAAAGGCTTGCACGTTAACGCATGTTTTCTTGACCAGAAATTGAGCTGCTCGTTTCTACAGCACTGTTTCCCAGATGTGTAAGTCAAGAAGCCACAGACCTATTTCTAAATAAAGAATTTTATTAAATGTTACACAAACCTTTTCCCCTTCTGTGTTGCTCTCAAAAACATATGCACTCATGGATTCTTCTCCCAGAGTACCACTGAGGTGGATCACAAAGCCAATCAGTCTCCTGTTCTCCTGATGGGCAGCAAACTGTGTCACAGTGGTGAGTTCAAACTGGAAAAGTCAAATAAATTATTTATTTGTTTTATTCAACTCAAGTTAGCAGGTTAGCTCAGGTTCATGTAACTGAGTAGTCACTGCTGTGATAGAAAAAGTTACTTACGCTTGCTCGTGTAACTTGGGTTTGAGGGTCTATTAACCTGCAATTACATGTAGGGAAAAAAAGAAAACTATTTTAGAGCGATTCCTGGTAATTTCAAGGGCCTTTATAATACAAAAGCAGTAACTCTAGCAGTTTTACAGATGAGGAAACATATGCATAGAATCAGGTGCTTTAGCTTTGATTGGCAAGATTCGAAACTAGGCTTTGACTCTCAGCTGCGTGACAGGTACAGCAAAAATATACAGCAAATAATAACATCACATCTACATAGATAGATGTGATGTTGTTATTATAGACAGCACCTTTCTGAGTCACTTGGAAAGGATCCTGAGTGCCTGAACTAACACAAATGCAGAGGGACATAAACATACCTCACTGAAAGGGAATGTCTGATATCAGCATATTCTACAGTGACACTACTGTCAAAGGACATTATTAGGAAAGATTTTTGCATTAAAACAATAATAGTTTTGCATCTCTTTTTTGTATCTTTGCAGGGTCTTACAGCTCCCCACTATAAGACTGTCCCTTAGATTTTGATAGGACATTCTTACAACTTGGTCTGGAGGATCATTTCTAGATACCATAGAATAAGAAAAGAGGCATTTCTTTCTAGGTAAAGTGACTCTTGGGATCTTGCTTCCTCAAAGGTTGTGTGTCTTAGAAAAACAAAACCAACAATACATAATAAATCACAAATTGTATGAAGAGAACAGAACATTGACAAGTTAAAGCTTTTACAATACCTCAGGTTCTTGCTGGTGACCATGAGGTGGGATTCAGTCATGCGGAAGATGTTGTGAATGGCCCGAGCAGCCAGCACTTGTCTCATGGCTTCATAAATCACCTCGCACGTCTCATCGGACTGAACAGCCATGGACCCTAAAAACCGAACCACGAACATCTGCTGCAGCAGGGAATCTGCAAGAGAAAAGCCATCCTTCACTATGCTATTTCAATTTCCCAGTAGCTAAAAGTATTGATGGAATTATTTTATTCACTTTAGAAATTCAACAGTAAGCCTGTGGTTGGTGGCCATCATGAGCGGTGGCTTTCTGCCATGAGTCACACAGTGCCCTGACCCAGTTTCAAACTGTGTGAACAGGCAGCAGTGTGGAGGTGGGGAAGGAAGTTTTAAAAGTGTGACTGGTCCTTTATGCTTCATTTGATCATATGCTAGTAAAATTCCCTTGCCTATTTTGCTATTGGGTGCACATAAACTATGATGAATTTATGACTGGGCATAAGCCTTGGCTTCCACTAAGCCTCATACATTCTTCCCTTTCTTCTATGTCCTTCTGACCTTCCATGCAGTTGGGCACAGTAAGGTTTTCACCAAATCGTTCCTTGCTCCTTGACTGTCACTAGAAGATTTAATGACAACTAAGCAGCCATTACGCAGCAAAGCCATCACACTTGATCAGGCTCCCTTTATGGCCAATGGTGAGCAAGGGAAAGCAGGGTGAATATTCAGAGCAGTAGGCACTGCTTTGGTTCTGAGAACACTTTTCTGACAGGGCCATGGGTTCCAGGCACAGAGGAGAACAGCCATGGCCAAGCCCTACACAAGCTAGTACAGGAAGGTCACTTTACTATGGATCTGTTACTTCTGCTCCATGATGTCAGGTGCTTTTCTTAAGAGACACTGGGTAGCTAAAATCATGACTGACTTTTTCTGGATGAAGAAGCACTGACCTTCCTCCTCATCTTTGCTGCTGTCTTCAGATTCCCCAAATGGGTTTGCACGCCTGTGAAATAAGAAAACTTGAATTACAGATTCTGGTCATCACTACTAACAGATGCTGCAATACTTCATCTCGCCTGAAATCATACTGTTACAGTGATGGATCACTGTCTCTGGCCATACCTGCCACCTCTGTTCTGGTCCAGAAATTCCATAGCAGGCAGTACGATATCAAATTGAATTGGTGTTCCAGGAGCAATGAGTTGTATGGAATCTTGAATGCCAGCTGATCCACTGGGAATTACTTCGTCATTTTCCATATTCTTTACAGTCTGGCTGAAGTGCAAATGTAAAAAAAAAAAATTATGTTTCTATCCATCAGTGACATCCTACCTTTGCTCTGGAAGAGAGATAAGATTATTCAAAAGTCCAAAGAGGGACTGAACCACTCTGCAGATATGTAAGGTATTTTCCTATTTACCTATTACTGAGGACTCCAATAAAATCCTTTTTTTAATCTAGCATTATTTAGGACAAAAATAAACATTGGTATATTAAACCTGAATACAGATCAACTCTCAGCGTGGGCTGACTTTCAGCAATAGGTGACCATGTGTCTCCCTGCCCTGTCCATATTCCCAGCTGCATTACCAGCAGAGACCTGGACTTGTGTCTACACTTCCCAGTGACAACCCCAACATCTTAAGATCCCTCAGCCCCAGGATCAATACAACTGCACATGGTCCCTGCTCCACACAAGGGAGAACATTACCTGGGGTGCTGAACTTCATGTTTTTTTCCCAAGCTGGTAATGGGAGTCACTGCTTGCAGGGCTGTCTGATTTAATTTTATTGCAGCTGCCTATGAAAACAAGACAGAACAGTTTTTTTAGACTGTAGCAGCTTACCTTACCACATTGAATAATGGGAGAACAAGTTGAAGGAATGGATTGAAAGATCAAAACAAGCTCCCACCTCTGGATTGTCAGTGAGATAGATCTGTCTGGAGATGTTGTTGATGGCACATATCCACTGGAAGGGAAAATGAAATTGAAGTCTTCAAGCTCACTTATATGCAAGAATAATAACATTAAGAAAATATTTTTACCTCCTCGTATTCTTTCTTGCTTTCTGCTTGAAGGGTTATACCCCTGAAATATAAACACAGTGTATAAGTGCTAACAGTGGACACCAGGACTGTTTGACTGCAGTGCTTACAGTAATATACCAAGCTTTATATCTATTAACTGCCAAAGGAACAAGAATTGTGAATAAGCTGCAACTAAAAGACACCACATGTTCCATTCAGGCACTTGTGGCAGAGGATTGGAAGGAATATGCTTTTAATTTGGAAACATCCTTCTGGAAACCCAGAAAAGCTTACTACTACACCAAGCAAGTTTTACAGGAAAGAGCATCTGAAGGGGTAGGTGTGATTAGCTGTCCCCAAACAAAACCTTTCTCATACACTTTGCCTGTAGGAGTAGTGATCTGAAAGCAGTATCTTCTGTCTTCACAGTCCACAGCCATAACAGAGCAGTTATCCAGGTCCTGAATCAATCCTCCAGCTACTGCTCCCCTTGGCTGACACATCAAGTTGCCACCTTGAGTGAAGAAATAGAGTCTTTCCCAAGTTGTAGTCACCAGACCTGTTTTACTGATGAGAAGATACAGTGATAAAGACTCATTACTGTTTAGAAGTAACAGGTATGAAACTGCAAACACATCCTGATACTAATCAGAACTTCATGTTCACCTGGGCATTTTTTAATGGTCTCTTTTAAGAAGAAAAAGCAGCACCTGTTTCTAGCAGAAACTAATCCATAATGAAAGCTGAAAAATTAAGTTAATTCCAAACATCCAAGTTAAAATTCTTATCTTCTAGCTAAGGAATAAAAGAGTATTGAGTAACTGACATGAAATACTATGAGCAGGTTCAGCACAAAATCATAATATAAAAAAGTATCTGCTGCAGTACTATCTCAGAGTCCATCTCTTGCTTAGCTGTAGAGTCCTATTATAGTGTAATCCAGCTTTTGGACTACTAAGAGAAATTATCAGATGTATACTCACAAAGAAAAAAATTACTAAATAAACAAAATAATAAACTGATATTTAATCAATCACAGAAATAGGGTTATTACATGCCACCGGTATACCTAACTTCTGTGGAAGTTTATGGAAAATTTTATATGTAAAATCTGCAGAGGTAATTCTACATATGATACACATTCAAAGTTACAAACTTGCATTGTCCATAAAGCTTTTATTTATGTAAAAAAGGTCATTCATGAAAACACATGTTAACTACAAAATATAGCTGCTTTTGTAAACACCACGTCTCCTTTAAGATCTGGAAACAATGTGAACCCAGTCTCATTAGCTTCTAATTTTTAGCCACTTGAATGCAGGAAATTTTTCCTGTAGGTACATTCAATCAGAAGCAAAATTCTGTTTTCAGAAAAACAGTCTCAAATGTCTCTAATTTGGTTAAAGCTTCAAAAATACATTTCCAAAGATGGCAGGTGTACTCAGAGGATGAAAAGTAGAGCTACCAAACTGATTTAGGACCCTCAAACATCAATACCTGATGAGTCCTTATGACCCTCCCCCAAAAAATGTAGCCACTAAACAAATCAACAGATAACAACAATCTTCTTACTTTCTAAGATTAAGGTAGCCAGCCTTCTGGATGAGATTTCTATTGATAGCAGGTGAAATTACATCAGAATCTGGGGTGTAAACAGATTCATTAACTGCAATTAAGTCCTGCTGGGATATTCTCATTTTTTCAGCTTCGGCATCCAGCTCTCCTTGTATGCTGGGAAAAAACCAACAACAACACAAAAAGAAACGCAAACCATCATTAGCCATTTATACCAGGATACAGGTAACATCTGTAAGCCAAAATGAACAAAAATACCATCTGAGATTACCTTGGAGGGTAGTGCAAAGATGAAATTTATTTTTCAAATAGACTTTATAGGAAATACTGTTCTGTGATACTGAAATGAGCATGTGAGAACTGTTGAGACATGTTGAGAAAAAAGAGTAAAGTTTATTTTTTGAGAGACAGCTTCTAAAAGTAATGCTTCTATGAATTTACACTGCTGAACACATACAGACATTGCCCTACTATAACAGCATAGTTCAAAGCAGGCTGTACTAGAGGATCTCTTGGCTTTCTTAGAACTGTCTAATGCCGCCAAGGCTGTAACACACAGGAATTCCTGCCTTGACACCACCTATTAACTGGTAATGGATTTTCATTAATTCAGAACAATACAGTAAAAAGACCTATAGCTCAAGTCTCCCTTTAGCTTTAATTCTTTGTTTATAATACTGCATTCTGCTTTGGTGTGATGCAGAAAACATCAGATCTGAATTAAGTTAAACCATATTTTGCAAACTAACGCCTTTTCACTCCATCACTGAATGTCAGAATAAGAATTATTTAAATTCCATTTTTAAATACAATGGAACTATGCTGTCAGTTTTTACCTCAGTGTTATTTCAATCAATCTTTTGATCTGTCATTTTTGTTTCACCACAAAATGCTTTTGACAAAATGTCCCTGGCACCTTCATGGTTTCTGAGGCTATATTCCTCTTTCAAAGATGTGCTTCTCCCATCTCCAAGGCAGGAAGAAAAGTGCTGACAATTCTGAAGTTATATGCATTTGTGGCAATTAGGCCAACTGGTCACTGAGAATGTCTTAGCATAGATATCTCCTGCGTTTTTACACCATTAACAATATTCACTGTATAAATGAAAATGCTTTTAAATTCCACTGAAATTCTGTAGCTGTACAATGGGTCATATCAGTTTGTTGTTCCAAAAGGACAAATATGACAAGTGAAAAGCTTTTAGCTTGACTAGCAAGCAGATCTGACTCACTGAGGCCTTGTGATCCCCAGCACTAAGGAAGGAGAGGAGTGGGCAGCACAGTTTTCTGTGGCTGTGCAAACTGAAGTCATGAAACTCCGTCCTCTGTCAGTAATTCTGTGCAGCACAGTGCCATTCAGAATTTTACAAGCTTCTCTTTTGGTTTTTCCACAGACATCACACTCTTTTACTAGTTACATTTGAGTTGTACTTTCAAGCTTTACTGTGTGACAGACTCTAAACACAAAAACCAGACTCAGGAAAATAACTGAGCAGCCTATTTTTGTTTCCATTTACTACTGTACATTGTCCAGAACTCAAACTCATCTGACTGTGGAAAACAAGGGCTTATTCTACGGTGAGGATCCAAGAGCAAGATCCTCCCTGTGCCTGTAAGACAGAAGTAAGATGCCCTACACTTTTTAAACAAAACTCACAATTTCAATGGCATTTAAAATCTGTCCTCCAGTCAGTACAAATGTTGTGTAGAGGGATTTATTTTACAAGTGAGTGTGCCAAGATATATAATTATATAAGTACAAAAAGTAAAGAATCATTTAGTGAAATAATCCACTGTACAGAGCACTTGTTTGTAGCATGGTTCTCAAATTAACAAATATGCATTATTTAAAGTGCCACCAGAGTGAGAATAAATAATGATGTGGCTACAGCTCGGTATGAAAGGAATGAAGGATTAAGTCAAGGACTCAGTTGGGACTATATTATCTTTATGGTCCATTCCAACCCCTTAACATTTTATCATTCCATGAAGAATATTCTCGCTATTACAATTACAGTTCAAGTGCAAAGTTTGCATTTACAGGAACTTAATTATAATTAAACGCTTCACTACAAGTAGAAGATGTGGAGGGAGGTGTAAGAAAAACAATCACAAAATCAGGAGTACAAAAGCAGTTTACTGAAATTTACAACTTAGTCAAAGTAGGTTGAACTCACTGGACAGCCTACACTGGATGCAATGAATATGTTCCCTACAGTGAGGAGTTTTGTTTGCCTTGTGTAGCTACACCATCAAACACTTTAGGTCCTAAATTTGAGAGGTTAATGAGTTATTGTTGCTGTATTATTACAGAATACCCAGTAAATATAAATACCTATAATTCAGAGAGCACCTTAAGTTATTTTATTAATACTGTTAACCTGTTTCTAGCCCAAATTCCATGCTTTTCTGTTCATGACAAGACACAGGGATGTAAGGAAGCATGTGAACACTTTACAGTATATAGTTTCTGACTATACTGTAAAAATACTCTCTTCAGTGTACAGACAGCATTTTCTTTTCCATGTACAAACATTTCCTTTCTACCTGTTACTTCAACAAAATATGCCCAACAATGCCACATAAGCATAGAAGGAATCTCATTAGAAAGAAAAAGAGGCACTCTCTCGTATGTGCCGAAGGTTAGAGCGCTACAGCTCGGACTCCAATGGAATGACAAAAGCAAACAAAAGCACTAGGTTACCTCTGAACCATGTCTGAAACAGATGACAAAAAGCTGTCCATCCTTTTGGAAAACATCTCTGCTCCTTTCTTAAAGAAGTTGATCTGAAAAATACCAAGAAAAAGGGCACTGAAGGTTCTCTTGGCTTTGGCAGACAAGGAGCAGATTGTGGGAGTGTTAACAGTGCTCCCATTATGACTGAACTTCTGGCGGGTGATCAAACACATGGGCAAAACAGCTGCAGTGCCTTTCTTGCTAGTTCCCACTTTTGCAACTCTACAACCTTTCACACACAGATAAGCTGCTGGCTGCCGACAAGTACGTTTCCAAAGAACTTGCTAAATGACTCAAATAAAGGAACAGGTAGCTTCTCCCACACTAGCACTGAGCAGGGCTGGGGCTCGTGGTGTTAGGAACTGCTGTGTGCAATGCCACCCTATCGAAGGGAAATCGTCCATTAGATTTTGCAGTCCAACCTGAACTACCAACTCCACGATGAAAGTCTTCAAAGTACTGTAATAAAGTCTGTCAGGAAAGTGTAGCTGTGCTTGCAGAAGCTTCCAGAGCAATTGGTTGTATCAACTACAGTTTTACCATTGGTTTTGTTCTACTGAAGGAGCTAAAAAAAAAAGCTACTAGGGCCAAAGTGCACATGATGCGCACAGAAGATTAATTCTCTTAGCTGGTATTGCTCAGCAGGCACACAATAAAGCAAAGCACTTGGTGTAGACTTGACCTTGTACTATCAGTCATCATTAGAGCCTACTGGCAACTGCATGAAACATGGATACAGACAGCATGCGTGTGCAATTAATCAGGATAAACACATAAAAATCAGTGATCTACTCTGGGAAGAGATGTAAAAGCAAATGTTATAGACCACAGCTTCCCTTTACAAAGGAGAGAAAGAATGGCCTCCTAAAGAATGATTTACCTATTCTATTTCTGAAGCCTGCTTCAAGAGGAAAGAGCTCTAAAATCCACTGATGATAAATGCTGGATGGCCAGTTTTCAGTCAAAATGAACCCTCTGTTAGCCACTGCTTCTTCCAAAATTTCCATTTGACCTACTCATTTGTTGGAAATGTGAAACTGGAGACACATGTTTGAGTAAATAATTAAGAAAATACATATTTGTACTGAAAGGCAGTTCACAAAATTTAAGCATCAACTGGCTTCTGGTTATTCAGTCATTCCCATGACAACCCGAGACTTCCCCATATAAAGCACTGAGATAAAGCAGTTTTGCCATATGAAGTATGGGGAAAGTTCTGTTTGGTTTCCAGTAAAGGAAATCAATGCAGTTCTTTCACTTAGGATAGCTACAGCAGAGAAGCAGTGTGATCTCCCGTGGTGGGGAATGTGACTGAATCCTCATTCACTACCTATTTTAAATGAGGCACATGGGCTGCAAAAGACAGGATGATGTAGATGATGATGAGCCACACTACAATCTCAAACAGAGCACCACATCCATTTTTCCTCTTTTCATAGCCTAGTTCTCATTTTCCAAACACTTTCTTTCATCAAAATCAAAGACCCTTAAAATGGGTGATAGTGAGAATCAAGTGCTGTGATAATACTGGTTTGTTGATCCCCCTGATATTCTGACCTGAGGGTCAGACCTGAGGGTCAGACTGTCAGAGTTGAGAAATGCTCTATCAAATTGCTGTTAAAATAAAAACTAGAAAAAGGATCTGCCAGCCTTATGCTCAATCCTCTCTACTATCCTGTCCTTCCAGCTCTCCAGAGGATGCTCTGTTCCTCATCATGCACACTCCTCATTAGTATGCTGAACATTATGTGCCAGGAAGGGAACTGCTACATAGGAGAGTTTGTGCAGACTGGGTAAACAGTGGAAGTAAATGCTACTGCATTTAGCTCAGCTGTGAAAAGACTAACCCTAGGCTGATTTTGCATAGAAGTGTATTGGATTTTCTTTTCATTAGTGTCTTTCCTGAATATCTAAACATTCAACGATCTGCCACAAACAAAATCTGCTGATAGAATCTAGGCAAGCTGAATGCAAATTGTTTCCCCACCACCCTTGTTATAATTTGTCAGGTCTCAAAATAAATCCAGAACGACAATGTTTCACCTTTCCCAGGAACATGTCTAAGTGATACAGACACTTTGCTGTCAATACCTGTCCTCGTGTATATCCTAGCATAGGTTCCATCATAGCCACCCTCTTCCTGTACTGCAGAGCATTCAGGGCACAGTAATATTGCAAGGATGAAAGGTGCTGCTTTCTTCTTGCATTTGCCACTTCTTTTGCAACTTCTGCCTTAAGCTGAACAAAAAATTATAAAGAGGTTGACAAAGTGTTACTGTGTATATGGATGTATTTACTGATCATCTTCAAGTTATTTTTAAATCACTGTCTTTACAGAACTTCTCCAGGTTAAAATGAAGCATGAGAAACAAAGAAAGCAAATCAAAAACTCAAAGCAAGTACTTCAAGCCTTTATCTGTCATGAAACTAAAGCATTTGGAGAGCCCCTGTGACTACAAACTGTGTAACTACTGCCACTAAAAATCTGGATCAGATCTCTGTGCAAGAAATTTATTTGCAGCTGAGATCACAACGTAAGTCTGCAAGTGCAGAATTCAGATGTGAGTAATTCACAGTATGCTATATCACACTGTGCTCTGTAAGGCATTTCCTTTCAAGAACCATCCTGTAGAACAGATTCACTCTCAGGACAGGGCCAGCCATACACTTTTTGACAAAGGGATGTATTTTAGAATAGCAGTCCAGGGGGCAAAGAAGGAGGAATGTAGAACAGTCCTACCAAGAGAGTTATGTGCACTATTAAGTGGAATGACAGGCCATAAAAAGTAATTAAACAGGAAGGTACATGCAAAGAAATGCAATGCTTTAGGAACAGCAGACACAAGGCTTCATGGCAGTTCACAATGAATTGTGCTCAGTGATACTGCATCACCACTTCAGCTGTACAACTCTAGGCCTATACAAAGCTATTTATAGTCACTTGGATTGCTTCTATCTGAAAAGCTCCCATGGATCTGAAAGGCTCTAGTTGAGCACAATATTTCACCACTTGCCTAACTTGGAGAAAACAGGTGTGAGTGCTGAGTTGATGTTTAAAAGCTTTGTGTCTGCTTGGAAACAAAATCACAAGTATTCTTGAGCTACTGTGAATTTAAGCAATGAACTCTCCAAAGTTCATAATGAACAAGGATGCAGACAGAATGGCTGATGAAAACATTCTATTTTCCCTTTCACATTTGTTACCTTTTCATTTTCTTTCCTTTTCGGTAACCTGCTATATTTTGCCATGGACACGTCATGTTCTGTAGACAAGGAATATTATTTTTTTTTAGAAATGTGATATGTGTATGTGCACGGATTCAACATGCCTTCTTTGCTCTAGCAGCTGCACATGAATAGAAACAAAACAGCAACACATACCATTGCTAGCAAGGCCAAAGAGATCCTTCAGTGTGCTTACTTCTGGAAAAGAGAAATCAAATATTCAAAGTAAAACCAGCTGTGAACACTTTGTACAACTTAGACCATTTATGCCATATTTACTGTCCAAGTCACTCCAGCCCTTCCACAGCAGAGACGTATACATTGTGCCTGTCTTGAAAATGCTAAACCAGATCAGCTGCTAGAGAAATGAATAATTAATGGTGGAGTGAGTTTATTTTATTGAGCAAGTTGTCACTCCAAGAAAGATGCCTTATCTGCCAGTGTCATTTGTCCAAAGAAGCACCATTTCAGTATGTTTATTCTGACTAAAGGCCCACCACTATCACACAAGATCAGCAGTTCTGAACAACCTGACAGTGCTTATGTGATACTGGAAATTTAAGACCCACAGATGTATGAAGTAAAGCCTTTTTCCTGTACGTGAATCTCCCTCAGCGTGGAACATTTTTGCTAAGCTGCTCTGTGAAAATAAATCTGTATACAACATACCTGACTGTTGGTGTAGTGATGCTTGCATTACAAATACTGGCCATGAGATTCTGATACAGGTAGAGAGAAGACAGACTAAACAGACAATGTAACTTCACAAGTGTCAGGCACAAGCTACTCTTAGTATCCTCACCAACATATACTGCAACTGGCAAAAACTCTCTCAAAAAGCTACAAAGAAAGCACATTTACAAGAACAGACATTATGCAACTTGGTGAAAATACCAAGGGGAAATTGTAGGATGTCATCATGGTCTCTGATTATTTTTAACATCCTACTCATTAATCCGTTTCACTCCACCTTGTTTTTTTCCCCAGAATGCTTCATTATGACTCAGATGAAGAAAAGACAAAAGATTTTTCCATTTATAACTAACTTGTATTTAGAGGTTTCTACAATATTCAATATAGATTTAACAAGATGAAAAGTAAAAACAATAACACAGTTATTCTTTCTTGCTTCCTTGTTTAATCCCTCTATGAAATTCCAATGCGGCCAGGTCTCTACCAAAAATGCTGTTCTACAAACTGCATCAGAAAAAGTGGATAGAATTTAAAAAAAAAACTGACATCCAAGGAAGTTGAAGAAACTTTTGGTTTTTGTCATGCAGCAGCTGAAGCTGTGGTTGCAGGCTACATATGTGTTTTCATATCTTTTTCAATGAACAAGAGAGAAGAAACCATAAATATGGAAAAAGAATTACTATCTCTGAGGCCACATGAAAGAGGTGAGGAAGTGTTTATCCCATCAACATCTTACCATCCAAATTCTCCTTTATATTTGACAGTATATGATAAACAACATATTGTTAACATAGACACCTAGATGTCCTCACAATTTCCAATCAGATCCTATAATGAACTTAAACCAGTCAATGTTTTCCTGTAGTCATTTTGTCTCACACCAAAATGATGTCTACAAGAAGGACATAAGTGGGACTGCAAAAAGTGAAATAATGAGTGGGAAGGAAGGGTCGGAAAGAGAAGGGGAAGGAAGGGACGAAGAAGAAGGGACGAAGGAGAGGAAGAGAAGGGAAAGGCGAAAGGGGAAGGCGAAAGGGGAAGGCGAAAGGGGAAAGGGAAAGGCAGAAAAGAGAAGAAATGCTGCTGCAAAAAGTCAGATTTCTGTTGCATAAGTAAGACTGCCCTTTACCTTGAATATGAGTTTTTTTCTTCTGTAATTGCATAAAATGTTTGTGTTATTGCCTTGCTGTTTAAGTAATGAAATCCCAAATTTGTGAAATCAGGTAACTTGCATGGAATTACCCTTGCATGACAAGAATTTAAAGAGGACTGATTCCTTAAAAAGGAGGGAATATACTATTCTCTGAAGTTAAAACAACACTCTTGCTTGTGCTTGTCAAACAGCCCCAAACTTCTGAAGTGGAATAAATACTGTTTGCAAGCCCAATTCACTGCTAAATTTCCCTTCTGGCAATTACAACATCAGTGACTTCAGTGCAATTACACTAGTATAAAAACACAGTGACCCAACAAAGAATAAAGCTGTGTATTTTTAAACTTGCACCATATGGCGCATAAAACGTTACATGGTGAACTTGAACTGCTTTTGTCTGAGTAAAGCATTATGTCTCAGTTTGTGATGAAATAAACAAGAAGGAGCATATAAAGAAAACTGAAACTTAGAATAAAATTTACCTGTGAGATCTTTTTCTCGAAATTGTATTATTGGGAGAACCATTGTATCTGCAAGCTGTTTTGCCAGTTCAGAATGAAGAATATTGAGCTGAAACAGAGAATTGTTCTGAGACACAACGTACATAAAAAACCCAAACCACAGAGAACATCAAAACACACCTGCCATTTGTGTCCAGTGGATATAATGTACTTCAATACTTGAAATACACTTCTCATGGTATCTAAGACAGATGGGGATGCTCTCCCTAAATGTTTCATTCCTGCCTGGTATTTCTCAAGGATCCAAGAACTTCTCAGTTCCCACATAACGGATTAGGGCAATTCACTTGACCATTAATTCTAATGCTTAACCCAACAGGATTTAAACTGTAATTATCCTTTATTAACCTGTTTTAGTCAAGTCTCAATGCCATGGAGTTATAGTCCCACTTACCACAACTACACTGTCTTTCCATGAACAAGGACTAACCAGGACACAATCACAACGGGGGGCAACTGCAACGCAAGATCCCATTCAAGTATTTTACCTTGACAGCAGTTGCCCATTGTTGTTTTTGTGTTTCTAAACTTCAGCAAACAGCTGTTTTAAAGCACCCACATGGCACCATTTAGGATGAAGGCAGGCAAGGCTCTCATGTCAACACTGGCCTGCTAGGAATATGAGATGGGAGCAGGTAGGTAGCTATCAGTCACACTGCTGGAGCACCAGGAGGGTGCAACACCTTGTGGTGATATCCTGCCTGTTTGCTCAGTGTCCTGGATACCTCCAGGCAGCCTCATGCAGGTAAGGGTGAACTGAGGATCTCCCATGAGATAATACAATTCAATGCTGATAGAACAGACAACTAAAACAGGCGCAAGGGGAAGCTAACACACAGAAAAGGAGGCCAAGGAATGGAGCGAGTTCTCATGAGGGAAAATGTGACTGACAGAACTGAGCAGCAACTTTCAGCTTTCTGCCCCTAAATGGCACCATTATCTTGAACCTGGGAAGGACAAACTTCTTGTTTTGATCTATTTGGAGGCACATAAGCAATTGCAAGACTTGTGATAACAAATGCTACTTTCAAGCATCCTGAGAACACACATGCTAAAAGAAAAGCCTAAGAAAAAAGTAAACCTTTGGGATTCCTCTCAATACATCCTCAGAGTTATTCATGGGCTCTAAAATTTTTAACTTACTTTTTGTCCCACAACCTTCTCTCCTCTCCCAAACAGCAGACCTCAGTACAGCCTTTTGCCTTCTTAATCAAAGTTGGAAGTAGACCAACAAGAACAGACTTTTCTGATGGCACAGCACTGCTCAAAGCAGAGATAGTGATTTGACGAAACCTAAGCACGAAGGACCTAGATACCAAGGCCATACTGAAATGTTACATGGGCAGGTCTAACAAAAGCACTTACAAATGCTTCCAGTACTTAGCAAAAACCTCCAGGGCATGGGAGTATTCAGTGCACACAGATTCACTGTCTTCACCTCACGGTACTGCAGCCTTCCCCAAACTTCTCTGGATTCTGCATGATCTCATAGCAACTAAACTGCAACTTTACCAATTCACAGCTGCCCTGCATCCATATCTAGCAAGTTTTGGTTCAAACTGCAGTGTTTAAAGCTTAGAAATGTGTCATTTTAATATGGAATTATAGAAAAGATAGCCCTAGCCTAGATGGCACATCCTGTTTTATTCTCTAAGTTCCCCTAGGAAATTCAGCCTCGTTCTGAGGATAGAATATGGGAGGAAGCCACAGAAACAGCTCTAACCATTATGGAAGGGTGGTTTCAAATGTCTTCATCCAAAATTAAACTACTCTAAATCTAGCCTTCAGTGGGAAGGTTCTGAATCAAAATGAGAGACCCAAAGAAAAACCACTAATATTCTGTATTGTAAAAAGAGAATATTAGCAATTCAAATTACCTCATCCACAACTTTTGAAAAATAATGGAGGGTGGATATCACTTCTTCATCTCCTTTACCTAAGGCAAAATGCTGGAAATAGAAAAACCCATTTGGTCCATAACTTTATTTAAAGATGAATATAAAATACAACGCTTGTTTTACTGCAAATCTAATTAATATTTCTACAAAAGGCAACAAATACTAAAAATAAATGTAAAAACAGAAGCTCATTAATATACATAATTTTACTCTGCTCTTCTTGTGTTAAATGAATTAATTTTGGACAACACTTAATTCTTATTATACCCATTTTAAACTCATAGAACTGGAACAAACTGACTTGTATCTTCATAAATTTATTAACTCGGATTTTGTACCTTTTTAGGTTTTTTCTAATCCGGTTCTTTTCTTAACATTCTCAGAAATGACCCAACTCCCTTGAACATCCTGGGGAAATTCACAACTGCCTTCACATGATACCAAGTAAAGCAAATGCCCTGAGCACTTCCAGAAAAGTGCTGGTTTACAGTTTACAGACTTCTTCACAAGTGCTGAGGCAGAAAAGAAATCAAAGTCACGTGCTGAACATACCTGCTTTTCATAGGCAAGGAGCTGCTTCGAAAGCTGTTGTGTGGCAAGACACATTTCATTCTACAAACAAAAATGACATGTTAATAGAAATAATGAAAGGTCCTCAGTGCTGCTGTTACCACTACTTTGTTAGGAACTTCTTGACTGAATCTGAAACTACTTACACCATCATTCAGCTGTGTGCAAACAGCTAGTCCCAAAATACCTGCACAGATGTCCTGCTTTCAGTTAAGACAGAGTTAATTTCTTCTCAGCAGCTGTTACAGTGCTGTGTTTTGGATTCAGATTAATAATAGTGCAGAAAACACACTTATGTTTTGGATTTTTGTGAAGTTGCGTTCATCCTAAGTAAAGGATTTTTTTTTCCTTGTCCCACACTTGGCCAGTGAGAGGGCATGCAAAAGAAACTGGGAGGAAGTACAGCTGGGCCAGACAACCCAAAAGGACCAAAGGGATACTCCACAACACAGAACATCAGGCCCAGTAAATAAACTAGGGTAAGTACCCTAAAGGGAGGCCAGTCGGGGCTCAGGAAGGGAGCTCTGGCATCAGTTAGTGGGAGGTGAACAGCTGCAATGCACATCACAGTTTTTTCCCCTTTTTATTATCATTATTATAAGTTACCATTATTATTGTATTTTACTTTATTTTCCATTATTAAACTTTTTTATCTCAAAATACAAGTTTTACTTTGATTCTCCTCCACATTCCACTGGGGTGAGGCAAAAAGAAATGGGGTTGGGCAAGCTGGTAGAATTTCCAGCTGGGCTTAAACCATGACAACAGAGAAGCAGCAGTAAGAGGGACATACTTCAGATCTACAGTTTTAACTACTTTGAATAGAGCTAATGTTTGGGGGTTTGGTTTCAGGCTTGGGTTTCCCCCATCACAAGAATATAACAAAACTAGAACAACACCAAAGACATAGGCTGCCATACCAGCAAATGAATGTTTCATACTGGTTAATCATCTCTCCCCAAAACCTACATCAATAAAGAAAAACAGAAGGTGTGCCTCACACTGCATTCACACTCAGGGAATGTACCAATGTAATTACAGCACTTTAAGTGGCTACAAGAGCACAAACCAGCACATGTGTCTTTTCCTGAACATACACACACACTTAAGATGTGCTTATGTCAGGTAAGATTTGTAGGGAAGTTGTATAATTTTACTTGACAGCTGGAAAAACCAGACAAGCACTTGGATATGTCAATCTTTAATCAATGTATTCCTAACACTAGCATATCAAGTGCTCTGTCCCTGATTTGTTAACAAGGACTTACAACAAGAATAAAAGAAAAAAGAGAAGGGGGTAACTGACACCCATCTTAATCCCTATCAGATCCTTCTCATCCTCAGAAAGGCAGAGAACTAGTAACTTTAAACTTAATTTTAAACCTTAACAAACTATTCCTGTCTCCAAATATATAAGGCCATAGAGAGTTTGTAAAACTAGGAACAGATCTCTGAACTGCTTTAATAGAGCTCTTTTTACTAGGGCTGATACAGAAAACCATTAAAACTGGGACAGAACTTGCATGCTCTCTTATTGTCCCTTATCATCCTGAGCAAGCAGAGCCCAGCACAGTGAATTATCTGGGCCAGAGACCCTTTGCTTTGGCCTGCTGCCACCTATCACATACTGCATTACAGCCTAGTACTTCTGCTCCACCTCGACACACCAGGAACAGGGGTTCATAGGGCAGCAGGGCCCAACATTCAGTCAGCCTTAAAGTGTGCTCAAGTGCTCAGGGGAAGAATAAAAAAAGCAAAACTAAACCAGCCACAGCCTAGGTACCAGCAGCTGCATATGAACACAGGACAGGAAAAGCTGAATGAGGTAATTTTGACCATCTTAAAACAGCATGGTGATAACACTCCCAGGCAGGAGGAGATGGCACAGCAGAGACTTAAAAGGTATCAACATGTTGTCATCTTATTGTAGGGGTTCCATACTGCTGTCTCCATATCGCAAAAGTTTCATACCTTCTTGGTATTTCTCATGGACAGCTCCTCAGAGCACTGACTCTTCTTCACAAAGCAGCCACTGACTCCAGCTCCCTTCTCAAGGGGCCATCTCGCTCTTTTATAGCACTCTTCTTCTCACTGGTTACAGCTGCAGCCTGTTAAAGTCAGGCCCGTTCCCAATCTTTGATAATTGGCCCAGCTACAACTCCTTAGTGGTAAGATTACTTTCCTCACTATCTTTATTTTCTTATATTCTATCCCCCTACATCAACAGGAGTTCAAAGCTGAGATAATGTGGGCCCATGCTCAGGTCATGCACATCCCATGACAATTCTCACTTCACAGTGATGGATTAGTCTTATTTCTTGTTTCAGCCCAATTAGTAATAAGCACACTTTCAGACAACAATAATGCCAATGGTTCCTCTAAGATTTGCAGGAGTTTTTACAGATTATGTAGTTTTGACAATGAAAAAGCTTTACACAAACACTTGGTATTCAAGTATTTCCCAAGCTACAGGATGAAAAAGGATGTTCTGCCTTACAATAAAAAACAAACCCTGTTAAGGGCTCAGACATGGATAGGAATGAGCCTTAATTATCTGTCCCCAAGCAGTAAGAATACCAGAGACTTTGCCACCTTCCAAGTGGGAGCTAGCAAGCAATGAATTTATGTCAGGGAGGACAGGACTCCCTGCAAGTATACAGAAGCCATTAAAAGGGTTTGTTTGTGTGCATGTAGGAGGAAATTCACATTACAAAAAACAATCAGAAGTTTGCAGACCTGGCATCCATCTTTTTCATAAACACAATCTCAAAGACAGTCTTCTTGCAGTTCCTACCCAGCTCTAAGTCCTCATACAGCAACTGTGATGCCACCTGTAAGTTGTACAGCTGGATCAGGGTGAGAGAAATCTTTGGAAATAAACCAAGTATCAGAAACATGCCTCTTTTTGCCATTTGTTTCAATTTACTTATTCCTGCAAAGTCTGCAGTTTTGTGATCTGCTCTGAATCTGGAAAAGACATGCTTCTGGCCTAAATTTGCTAACACTAAAAGAAGCTTCAGAATAATGGGCTGATACAAACAAACAAAATCCCCAACCCCAAAAAACCCTGGCCAAAGACATCCTGTTCTTTTGTGTTCACCATCCACAAAGCTTCTGCCAGTTTGGTTTTTAGACTCAATCCTCAATTTCCTCACTTGATATTCAAAGGGCATCACTACTCATCTGTGTGGGGCAGTTTGAAGATGGGCAGTGTAAAGAGGTGTGTGGAATAAGCATCTTCCAGGGATCACCGCTCCCCAGGAGTGATCTCCAGTATGTGACAGGATAATGGGAGAACACAGAAACTCTGAGGATCTCAAAGGGGTGCAAACGAACAACGCCTTACCAAGTACACAACCAGGTGACAACAGTTAATTACAGACCCCAAGCAAACATTTGTAGCCTACTACTCCAGATACAGAACAAACTGAGAGGTGTGCCTGACACAAAACTTACTTTGGGATTTTAGGCTGATCTGGGGACAACAGTTCACAACCCACTGCTCACAACCCACTGCTGCCAGCTGGTCACATTTTTCGTTTATTGGCTCAGTTCTTTGTGTCAGAGCAACACAAACTTGTCACTCAATCCCTACCCATGTGGAAAAATTAATCTTGGGTCCTTCATCCTCCCTCCTAACACCTGCCAGACTTAGTTCCCATTAGAGGTATAAAATCATTCATTGTATCATTTGGGGGAAAAAACCCAAACGAAAATCAAAACAAAACAGGCACATGCCCAAAAACTGTAAACAAATCAAATTAAGCTAGCAAGCTGAAACACACTCCATTGCACAAGGAACAAGAAGGAAGCAAAATGCTCTGCTGACCTAGTGGTAATACTGCATTGCTAAACACACTAATCTGGGAAAGTTTAGTTTAATCCTCCTCCCATTTCTTCCTAATCAGCCTTTTCCCCTCCCCCTACCCTGCTGCCATTCAGTTTCAAGACTTAGAAGTTATTTGCATTGCTTCAGTTGATAGATCCACTAAATCCAGGCAAGTTATTTTAACAGGTTTTAATCTATTTCCAAGGCATTTTCCCATGGATACAGCAACACTGATTTCCTTTGTCCTGAAGTGACTGCAATGCAATGTATCACTGCAAAAGAAAAAGAAAAACTACAATACCTTCCTGATTCCACGTCTCCTCCATATTATCTTGACATTTCAGAATTCATCCCACATTTATGGAGTAGGACAGCTATCAATGAGATGATATATCATGCAAAAACTCAAAAAAAAAGTCCTGAACAGAAATTGAAGCCTTCTAAAATGAAGGGAAACATAACTAGTACTGGGCCTTGCAAATAAATTCATTTGCACTAGATGGTTTTGCTTAACAGGTAAGACATCTCTGCAGCATTAATGTAAAAAAAGCATAGCAGAAGGAATAAAAAAACATACATAAATAAGTATCATTAAATCAGCAGTGATTACAGATGTGCTGACTTTTTTTTCCACTTTTCTCTAAACCTGGCTTGCATGATAGCCCTACGAATAAATTTCTCTAAGTCCAGTTCAAATGGATAAGGTAACAAAAGCAGGTCCTGATTCTAGCATTAATCTACCAGAAACGAAAAACAGCTCATGTAAAAAATATTGTTTAATTTTCAAGTTACTTCAATACCTGACCCAGCCTTCAAATAAGTCAGTGAGAAAAAACAAAGTCTGTCTTACTTTCTAAGCTAGTGCCCAGAGTAAAGACATCAGGTTGATTCTACTTTCTTCATTATCACTTGTATTCACTAAGCTGTTCATATCATCAGAAGACACTGATTTTTCTCTAACTTCTGTAATAAAATATCCATGCCATTTACAATTTCCCAGTGAGGCAGCCCATCCATTTTTAGGATGTCTGTATTTTTCCAAAATAAACTCTGAGGACTAATCTGCTGAAATCCAAAGATATTTCTCTAGACAGTTGTCTAACAGACAACAGATTTGAGGGCATGTAAAAGATTAAGTTGACCTATAAATTAACTTCCAAAGACACAGAACTATTCCAGCACATCCAGTTCCAAGAAGCTTTCTGCAAAGCAA